ATATTATATAATATTATATATATATTTATTTATTTTAATCAGATTTTTGAAAGTTTATTTTTTATTATTTCAGAGAAATCTGGTGTAACAGCATCCATGCCGGTAGCTGGTGGCAAGCCACTAAGAATTATTCGTATTCCGTTGCGGTGATGTCCATTATCGGCTACATCATAGGCTTAGGCGACAGACACCTGGATAATGTCCTCGTCGATCTCAATACTGGAGAAGTCGTGCACATCGATTACAACGTCTGCTTCGAGAAGGGAAAAACGCTACGCGTCCCGGAGAAAGTGCCGTTCCGCATGACGCCCAATATCAAAGCGGCTTTGGGAGTAACTGGCGTCGAGGTAAGGAAGTAGAACGTTTCTCGACAACGCGGAGAGGAACAGAAAGAGACAAGTGAATAAGAAAGAGAAAAGAAAGAAGAAAATAGTGTTTATATTATTATTTTTTATTTTTTTAATTCTAGAAAGTCTGATCAACGATGAAACATTTCATCGCATTTGAACATTGATTCGCGTAGAGATTAAAAATGTGCAAAATGTATATTTGTATTTTAATTTTGCACGATAATTTGTCGTGATACTTTTACAATTTTTTTTATCTATGTTTTTGATTTTTGAAAAAGAAGACATTTATACGAACAAATATAAAAAAAGTGGAACAATTTTTATATAATTTTCTACTAGAGATTGAGATTTCTATCGAATTTTCAACTCTATAGAATTCGATTCACAAAATTGTGTTGTCTATTCTGTTCTCTTCTGCTAAATTAGATTGACTACTGGACGAATATTCGTGCAAGTTATCGTTTCCGTGTATACCATTTTCTACATTCGTTTGTTGTTTCTTTAACTCACGTTGATTCTCCAAGTATATTTTAAAACTTGAGTTTAGATTTTTATTTGGTGATTTGAAGTGCAAAATTTTCTGAAAGGCCTTGCGGAAATTGGTGTTTTTCCACGCGTATATGAAGGGATTCATTCCGCTATTAGCGACAGCTAATGCAAACGCGCATTTGTAGCATAGCATTGTTACATCCGTTTTCTCACCAAAGAATTGAATGCAGGCCATAACGAAAAAGGGAAGCCAGCAAATTGAAAAGCAGCCAAGTATCAGCAGCACCACCTACGAAAATGCATGCTCAAATTTTACTTATTCGTAAGATTTTCAATTCTATCAATGGCTCTCTGATTCAAAATACTATATCATACGTTTACGCTTTTATGATCATGTTTCCCAGCAATGTTCGGAATAATACTGAGATTCATTCGGCGTGCATGCAAGTGCGCTTCTCTCCAAATCTTCCAATATAATAGAAACATTGCTATCCAACTGAGAGAAAAGGACGGCAGCAGTATATACGCTAGGAAACAGCTATAAAAAAAATTTATTATTTATAATCTTGTGATTGAAGGAAGAAAAAGAAGCTAAAATCAAAAAGAATTGGAGACATTAAACCAATCGATGAAGAAAGATAATTTACGACGATTGCGCCGATATGAAATAATTATATTTTTACACGGCCACACACCATATGTTACGAGCTATTTTGGAATATCGAAATTTATAATCCATCGCCATATCGGATTACCGAGAAATGATGAATCATTGTAGCAATCAGTACCTCGGCAATATTGTGTCGAATTCGCATGTCTTTGCGGTATCGAAGCAATTCCAATATATCGGAATCGAATACACGCCCGTGACGAATATCCAAGTGATGGCTATGATTATCAGTACTCGTTTTCTCGTCGCGTACGCATTGTAACTCAACGGATGCACGATAGCGATGTAACGATCTATGGCGATCGCTATGAGATTGTATATGCTCCCGCCGCACGCTAAGCCGACGATGACGAAGCGTGAGATGCATACCGTCTTGTTGTTTCTCAACGATTGATCCACGTAAAACGCAAAGTGATAGGGCAACGTTACACCCACCAAGAGATCCGACACCGCTAGATTGAGTATAAAATAATTGGAAATGACATTTCGAAGCTTGCGAGTCCACGCGATGGCCAGTATCGTGAGAGCGTTTCCCGAAACGATCACGATAAACAGGAAGCTGTCTATGAAGATCCAAATGTGTTTATCAGGTTCTGGCTTGTCGCTCGCTTCAGTAATGTTGTTCTCTTCTAAACACATGGTTCTGAAAACATAAACTATATAGTATCTTTAAGCATTAAACATTATTAGACTATGTAAGATTTTACATTCTCTTCGACAAATTAGCAGAGAACTTTTTGAGTATTCACCTCTAATTTGAATTGTGAGATTGTAAAAGTCTAATTGAATTTATATAGATTTATATTAAGATTTTTCTTTTTGTAAAAGGTAAAATTAGAGCATGGTTAAAATTACCGTATCTTTTTTGACGCCATAAAAATTTTGCGCGGATATATTTACAGAAATCAGATTGAATACGTATTTATGCCGTGTCTTGATATCACGATTGCCTTATGAAGATGTGCTCTTAGTCGTACGTTGTGTAAAACTGCTGCGTGAAACCATGAATACAATTTCTATACTAAAAGCATATAAAATGGTCAGTCAGTTAATACGTTTAAAGTTATAACGCCGGGTCTCTTACCTTGGCCATTTACCTTCTGCACACACAAAGAGAAACAGGTTTTTAATGGTACTTTATGAAACGTCAAAGTACACACCGGATCACGCATCACGATTACGTAAATCTACGAAGCGTTCGAATGAATCTTTTTTATTACAAAAATATATAATGTAAGATGATTCTCACCTCGTCTCTGTTTCGTCACTTTTTGAAGAAACGGGAGTTTCCCCTTAAGGAAGCGCGATTTTTTTATTTTCATGAGAACGTTTATAATACGTTTTGACGAGAGAGTATAGATCAATACGGAACAATCTGCGACAGATACGATACTACTTCGTTCGTTCAAGAGTGGTTTCACTTATCTGCTCATCTGTGTGTGGTTTCCTTGGCAAAGTACTGTTCCAACTATCAGCCGCTATCAGTGATTGGTTCGAAAAAAAAAGTCGATGGGAAACGAATAAATGCAAAATTACGAGCGATCGATGGTTATTATATTCCCGCCCCGGCAATGAATGTGGTACATAATGGAAATTGCTATTTATGTGTCTAGGGTATATTTAGGTTCGCCTGCGAGCATACTTTGAGAGTGATGCGCAGAGGCCGCGAGACGCTCCTGACCTTGCTGGAGGCCTTTGTCTATGATCCTCTGGTGGATTGGCGAGCTGGCGCGGATACAAGTATAGCGAGTTACGGTGCTTGCCAGGCCAGAGCGAGATGTACCGGTGTCGGAAGGAAACAACTGGAGCAGGAACTTACACGTGCGATGTTCGCCGTAAGAACGGCGGAGATGCGTGTTGAATGGCTGGCTAATCGGTGAGAGACAAGTTTCACGGTCAACGAGTGTCTTATTTTTATTTATTTTGTTTTAGATTTAAAGAAGAAACTAGTAAATCTTACATACATATTTTTCTACAATTTAAAATATAATTTCTGTTTTTTTAATATATTCTTATTTTATAGAAATGTAAAAAGTCTTGATAGTAAAAGAGGCTTTGTGTTTTTATCAATTTATCTCTTATTATGCTAATTAAATATTAGAAATAACAAGTTATTTATAATAATGGTTTTAATGGTGAAATCACAGAGACGAATTGACTAAAATCTTACCACTGCTGTGTCATCACTTGAACTGTTGGATCGAGACGACCGAAGCGTCACGTCAGTGTCAGGATTTACTGCAGGACCGACATCAGCAACTCGCGTTAGTGAAGGAGGCACAGGCGATGGGTCGGAATCATGCATTGTACTCGGTCGTGAACCGATATAACTCGTTTAAACGAGCGCGAGACGCTCACGAAAAAGCGAAAGCTGGCTTAAAAGATAAGATAGAGGAATGTGAGAAGCAGATTAATATGCATAATGTGAGTCTTAAGTGATTAACCAAATGTGTTTTGAATTGCAATATTTCTTCAATATTTTCATTGTCAATTTAGATCGCGTTGGCCGCGGTGCGAGGACCCCAATTGGGACAGTGGCTGGCAGAATTAGGAACCTCGGCGAATCAAGAGGATCACGTGGTGTTTGATCTCGTGAAAGAGTTTTTGCAAAACGCCGGACAGAGTCAGATGATATTACAATGCGAACAATCGGAGAATGAATTGACCCAGTTGGCTACTCAGCAATCCATTCTTATACGCACCTGTTTGGACTTGTTGAGTCAGTATTCCGCTATCTGCAGCCTGTATCCCCTAAGCACTCTGTCGCAGCATCGTACCGTACTCTATCACACATGGGCCAACAAGTTATTGACCTCAGGGACCGTCGAGGCGTGTCACGAGGTTATGACGCAGTTTGAAGGAAATCTAAATCCGATCAACCCGAATAATCCACAGGTTCAGCCTTCTCGTATCAGATGCAAGCGATTCTAAACGATTCGAACGAGAGACTCAAGAAAGCTTATGAAAGAATAGTATCCGAAGGCTTGCCGGAAGCCGGCAATAGGATTGAAAAGGCGTATGTCGAGTCGAAGGCACAGATTGTAGGATTCCTGCGACGAGAGAAGGGCGCGGAAAGAGCGCTCGAGTGCGTCAATATTACCGCGCTATGTGCCTTGAATAAGCGATACCTGATGATGGAAGGCGCGGCCAAATGCGCCGGGGATTGTCTGGTGGATCTCACGTCTCGCGAAGGGGACTGGTTTCTAGACGAGATGCGTCTAATGTCATCGCTAATCGCTGAATTGATCACGCTGATACCGGAGAACCATAAGACGAATAACGACCCTAAGATCTCGCTGATACTCAAATGCCTGAAGAGCGCCGATTGCATATACAAGGGTTTACAGGAACTTAATTATAACTTTCAAACCATTATACTGCCGGAAGCGATGAAGACTATTGTCACGGAGGAGCCGAGCGTCATGCGAATGATGGGCGAACTCAGCGAGATCATAATAATGACCGGGATACCTCTCGGTGACATTTTGGCGCAGCTCGAGATGCATCTTCGATTCACCGTGATGGAGATGGAGAGTCCGCATGCGATGATACAAGGTATAGTGGCTAATATGAGATTACGATTCGAGGCGTTACTGTCGCGACCAGCGGAGATTCAGGACTTGAATCAGGAAGAAACTTTGACTCCGGGTCAAATGCTGCTAATGGGTTTCAACGGCCTGTTCGAGAAATTGCAAATGGAAGGTAACGCCTTGGTGGCCACTTTGAGTTCGCTGGACATCCCGTTAAATTGGAAAAAAATCGATCAGATACGCGAGGCTAAAGAGATGTCAGCGCCCATCTTCAACAAGGCAGCCAGACAAGTTCTAGAGGACATATTCCTGATTAAGAGATTACATACGATACAGGAATTCTTCATGATGTGCAGGGACATTGCTACCGCGTTCAAAGGCGGACTAGCGAATGTGTACGACGACGAACGACTTAACAAACCTGTCCGAGTATTCACAGCCGATTACGTTTCGAGACAATTGCTCGGCGTTACGTCACAAACATTGGCAATCACCTTGTGTTTCCTGCTGCAACGCATGGGCCTGAACGTAACCACCGAGATTGAACAAAGAGATATCGGAGCAGAAAGCAAAGTTTCACTGGAGGAGCTGTGTCGGAAGATGGTGGATCTGTGCTTGAAGAAGGGATTGTTCTCGGGCTCAACCTTGGCGCAAGCGGGCGCGTTAAGTAGCACGCTGGAAAGCGCCTGGCGACGGAAACAAGGCGCCAGACTGGCGCAACAAAGCGTCGAAGTAGCTAGAGCCAGTTTGCAGAGACTTCAACTTCAGCTAATGGCCCATCATTGGTTGCACGAGGATATCATGATGCTAAGATCCAACATAAATCCAATGAATCCTCTAAGTATGTGACGTATATTTTATTGTTTTCTTCTTTTTATCTATATATTTTATTTTTTAATTAAATTAAAATTTTATATATATATATATATTAATGTAATTATACATTTTATGCATAATTAATGTAATTATATAATGAAATCTGAACTATAATTTCTTTAGATCGGTCCACCTTTATGCTGGAGCTGCGAAAAACTGCGGCGGCACTGTCGAACTTGCAATCGCGAGTATGCGAGGCTCGTGAGCAACAACAGAATCTTGTCTCAAGCGCCGTGCAACGTCTCAAGTGGGCTGCTGGCGCCAATCCAGCATTGGGCGAAGTTATGTCCGCGTTCGACAACGCGGTATTGTCATCATGCGAGAAATTGACCAGACAACACAATCTAGCAGCGATGGTGGTGAACACATGCAATTCTATATTACACTACGAAGCTCTGAGGACCAGAACATCGGAAAGCATGACGCACGATGCCAATTTGGTCAAACTAATCAAACACTGGGAAGAGAGCTGTGTGCTGACAGCCAATTTGAATATCACTGTTACCATGATAGAGGAGAGCCTCGTACAGTTATTGCAGCTGGAAAACAACGTAGACACCGCATGGCTGAAGCAAGCCGAGAAAATCGTATCTGAGGCGATAGTCGATACCCAGAAGAAGTTACAAGAGAAGCAAGAAGCTCTCTTCACCGCCGAGGATTATTTGAGAGAGCGAGTCAAAAATTTACAGAATGTGCTCGCCGAACATCATCGACTTATGTCGGACGTTAGAGTGCTATTGAAAACGATGGTAAAACAGGAGAACATTGACGGTTTGCAGGATTTCTTGTCCGCCTATCGCTCTTTCACGGAAAGTGTATCGACGATTGTGAAGGAATTAGAGTCCAATAATTTCGATTCGGCTCGCGGCGTGGCGATCAAGATTGATCTAGAGACGATGGCAGTTAAAGCACCCAATTTGTACAATCAACTGTTAGAATTCGCGAGCGAGCACAAATTGAATCCGGCGAAAGCCGCGGAAAAACCGGACAATCTGAAGAAGAAAGGCAGCAGACTGATACGACAAGAGAGCGTATGCTTGAGTCCGAGGAAAGGAACACCATTAGCCAGAGATCCGACTACGGGCAAAGGTACCAAGTAGTTTCTAATTCGCATTAGCTGTATAGATTATCAATCTTTTGAAAATTGAAAATTGTTATTTTCTTCCAGCTGTACAAGAGCGAAACGCCTACGCGCTGAACGTGTGGCGTCGCGTGCGCATGAAGCTGGAAGGTCGCGATCCGCAACCGACACGGAAGTATACCACGGCTGAGCAAGTGGAATACGTGATACGCGAAGCGCTAAGCAACGATAACCTAGCCTTGCTGTACGAAGGCTGGACACCGTGGGTCTGAACGAAGAGCTGTTGGCGCTCGCGCGCCCCGATGGCTCGACACTCGTCTCACATGACGGTATTCAAACTTGTACCGTCGTATCTATGTCGCCCTACGTTGCCGTAGGAGGCAAAACTCCACTCCGCTCGAAACCAGATATGGCGGAGTGTCATCCGGGGAAACAAGTCAATCAAGAAACAAGTCGGTTTTTCAGGATCAATCTCTCCGGCGCGACAACTGAAAATCCACTGTGCTGAATGCTGATTCTATAATTGTCTCAAAAACCGAGGCTGGTGTGCAATCTATTATACTTATGGATATGTAATGAGTGTGTCTTCTTTCTTTATTTCTTTTTTTTTTTTTTTTTTTTTTTTTTTTTTTTTTTTTTTCAAGAATGTATGGTATATTGGGCGGATAAATGTGCAGAGATAAGTATTATTCTTTTGGGAGCCATGAATTTTTGGGGGAAGCATAGAATCGGCCATATCCTAACGCTAACGGTGTAGTCGCGAGAAGTTCGGCTGACGATATATTGATGGGAAGTCCGATGATAATGATGAAAGTCTCGATCGTAGTGACGATCCCAATTATTACCTATATATGCAATATAATTTGCGTAATGTCATAGATAGTGTCAGGGATTAAAATCGCCTAGCATTTCAATCGAGGCATCTGAATCGGTTTTCGCACCGACATTTTGATTTTAGATACATGTACACCGATGTATACACAGATATACATTTGATGATTAATTCGATCAGGAGTCCGAGATCATGTAAACGTATTACAGCATTATTTTTCAATAAGATGAAACAAAATAAAAGACAAAATTTTAAAAATGTCCGCGACTTGACATAAAAAAATAGTTTATTATTATTAAGTTACTTTATGTAACTAAATATGTTCAAAATCAGCGCATATGTATATACACTTACACTTACATACGTATGCAGATACACTGCTCACATATTACAGATATCATACGTCTCTACAAACATACAGATATACATACATATATATATACGCGCGCGTAAGTGTAAATTTGGAAAATTTAATGATCTCGCGGCACAATCGCAATTTATCGTCGATTATAATGAAACAAAATAATTTCTGCGGTAAATGCGTACATAGTTTTGTAAAGTTTATCACGTCGACTCAGTTTGTGAGTTTTATAATGTTAGTATCGGACGATCCGGACAAAAAAAATTCATTAGCTTCGTAGCCAACATTGTGACACATGATAGTGTCCTCGCTACTCTCTGGCGTTGCACATTTCGCCGAGTCATGTTTTAATTGCTTGAATAATGCTGTCATAAATAAAGATTTTCACATATACATTGCAGAAGTAATGATAAACACTCGTTTCTTTTAAATGTTTGTTGCGAATTTACATAATTGTATGAATTTTATCAGTTTAACATAACTCATTGAGTAATATGTGCAGGATGTTTTAAGAGGAATCTACTATACAGATGTGTTCCACAAGCTAGAATGGAGAAAAAAATCTATATAAATGTAAGGCCGGTGATTGGTCGTTAAGAACGCTCAAATTTGATAAAAAACAAAATTTTAAAAGATTATTTATTATTTTACTAGGAATTATTTTTCCTGAAAAAAAATAATTCGTTATGTAAAATAAGTAAAAAATTTTATAATTATTTAATTAAAATAATTAGATAATGTTTAGTCAAAATTAATTTCTTAAAACTATTTTTTTTTTTTTTTTTTAAAGAGGATAACTAAAGTATTGTTAGATTTTATATATAGATTTCTTTTTTCTTTAGCCTCTGAAAAACACATCTATATAATATATATACGGCAGGTTTTTTCTAAAATATCATATACAAATAACACACAAAATGCTATACAAATTGAAATTGAAATTGGCCAACACAACATTTTAGGGAAACGTGACAGAATTTCATAGCGCAGCTCTAAGAGATTTTCAAATTTTTTCTGATTTGTAACCTTTCGACAAACTTTACACAATAAATGACTACGAGTTTGGCGTAGACGAATTTTATTTGTGTAAAAACTCAAAGAAAAGAAAATTGATTATTTATTATATAATTACAAAAAATACAAAACTTTTACTATATTACTTGATGCAATGCTGGAACTAATAAGAGAAACACTATCGAAACAGATATGAGTCTTTCTATTAATTTACCTTTTATCTCTCAGGTGTTTCTTCATTATCCCTAACAAAAAGCATTCACGAATAATTTCCTAGATGGAAAGTCTTTATTTAAGAAGATTAATCGTACAAAATAGCGTGGATGTAGAATATATGCTACTGCATTATTCTACGATACATATATTTCTGCAGATATTAATATATATTTCCGTTATCCAGTCATTTTTTCAATCCAATCATCTAAAGTTCTATTTTTCCGGTAGCCATATGTCAGAAGTACAATCTCCACCGGGATATCTACCCAAAAATTGATGACACGATATGAAGTACGAGAATAAAATAGTCTATTTCTTTAAAATAAAAATATTAACAGAAATTTAATTTGTGAAATTAAATATTTGATATTAAAATTAGAAAAAGATAGAATCTAAATAAAAAAATGAAAAATTTGAAATGTTACAAATTTGTTACTATACACAATTTGAATTCCACTGATTTATTTATATTTTTTACAGAACTGGAAAAGAAAATAAATAAAAGCTTTCCTCTTTTATTGACACGATACATTATGAAATATCTCTCACCTCATCTCATGCGCCAGCAGAATATCGCTCTTATCGGTGCCGAAATCAACGAGGAATTGATGGTCGAGCTTCATGCCGCCCTTTTCGACATCGATATCAAGCTTCACCATCGTTGATCCATATCTAAGAATGAGCAGAATATTAGATCGTACGAATAGATGGTGTAAAAATTTGATGTCATGGAAAGAGAAGAGAGAAATAAAGCGGAAGAAGGCAAGAGGATCGAAAAAGGTACTCACTTGAGGAGATCGGGATAAAACTGCTTATCCCATGGTTTAAAGATCGATGTAGTCACGTACAAACGACGTCCATCCAAGCTTAGCTGCAACATTTGCGGCGCACCGTACAATCTCCGTCCCTTTACATGGACGGGATCAGGTTGACTATTCATTTCCTCGTCTCGAATTACGCGTACTTGCGAATCGCTTAGTATCGACCCGCCTAAGAAGACCTGACCAGTCAATCTCGGATTTCTTGTGTCCGAGATGTCATACTGTCTAACGTCGCCATGCAACCAGTTTGACAAATACAAATACTTGTCATCGAGACTCAGTAGGATGTCGGTGATCATACCTGAAAGGACGAAGAAAGATACTTCGTAATCGTCAACAGACAAGGAGGAATAGATGAAGAATGTTGTTACTGAAAGCTTTCTACCTAGTATATTTTAGTCTTGTTTGAAAAAAAAAAAATAATTTTCGTAGTACCTGACATTAGAGGAGTGACCCATCCTTCGACTTTCTTCGGTAGCACCTGGATCACCTTTTCGGTCTTCCACGAATTGTCGTCTGCCTTGTAAAATCGATAAACATTCGATGTTACCGCACAACCCACGAATCCTTCGGCTGCCAAGGGATCATGGAGAAATCTAATCTCTAGAGGCGCGATTCCGTCGTCCCCTAGATTGATGGTCTGTTTCAACTTTCGCTCATTCCATGAATAAACGTTCAAGCTTCTGCCATAAATCTCTGCAAATCAGCAAATGGTATTTTATACTCCGGTAAATGATTCTCCCATAAAATATCTCATCATAAAATTACATGCAATTAAAAACTTACTGGGATTATAAACGTCCTCTGAAATAAATCCCTTTTTAAAAACTCTAGGTGCACCCCATTCGGTAGCGACAAGCGCGTCGTGATACGGTTGGTACCAAAAATCGTATCCAAAGTTCGCTTTAATGTGACCTCTCGTCCACGTGTCCTTCGCCTCCAGAGTCTCGGCATCGACGCAGAAGAATTCGCCCAACCCGTCACCGTTGAGATTCCCCATGGTGGAGATCGCTATCTCGCCAGTTGGCAAGCAATGCGAAGTGTGCGGCGTGGATATTCCATACTTGTGCATCTCTTTCGGTTCCAGAACCTTTTAAAAACAATATCACTTTAGCAAGATAAAGATATCTTATTCGTTTCATATCTCCGCGCAGGATATCGCGGGATCATATGCCATTGCGATATCGTAGCATTATGTCACATTACAGCGCATATTCTCTGCGAGATTTTTCATGGAGTATTTTTCTGCGACACCCTGTACATTCATACGGTACCTTCTTAATCTTGGGCGCTCTTTCGTCGCTCGTATCAACAAAATAGACTCGATCTGACATAAGGCAGGGTAATACCAGGATATCACGTTTACGTGACGAATCGTGACAGCTACTACAAATATTCCAGCCGGAGTGATGTAGTTCGTCGCCAACCGCCAGCATTCTCAGTTTGTGTATTATCTGACAAGAAAAAAGAAACACTCGAGTTTAATTTCTTCTTGCTTAAGTTTCTATATGTTTCAAATATTTTTTTTACCTGACAGTAGGTAGGACTATCAGGATCCACATCAACTGTGCAAAGGACATCGGCCTTCTCGGGATCTGTATGTATCCCAATGACGTACAGGAGTTTTTCGCGCGGCCCCTCGAGCATCGCCGCTCTCGGGCTCCTGTAACCCGGTCCGCAAGGCTGGCAACACGCTAAGATTATTTCAAAAGCATTTAAAACAATGTAGGGCAATTATGATAACGGTTCCGATTATTACAATTGGATAGCGATCATTATAAACGTAAAGCGTGATCCAATAATCTAATCGTTCAAATATATAGTGCTGGATTACGTTTTACATTTATTGTATTAATTGTGATAATCGGATACCCCAATTGATGTATAATTGGACACGTTCAGCAGAACAAACCGCTTAGTAGCAATCGAATGTGATCAGCTCTTATTTTTAGATACAACAAATAAATTCGAGTGTTGACAAGATGATAACTCAACAATTGTTCTGCTGAACGCGATCATTGTTACGAAATACGCACTTCTCTTTTCTGCCATCCTGTAGACGTGCCGATCGACTGAGGAGAGCTCGATCAACTGCGTAATCATACATCTCGAAAGAGAGAGGGAAAGCGTGTTGTTCGCACTGACGTATGATTCTTAGCGCTTCGACTGCTAGAAAAGATATTGTAAAAGAGCACGGATCCGTCTCACCGATTGATAAAGTGAGCGATTGCTGAGGTCATCGTGTCCAAATTCGGTCGATTAATAATATGTCGTAATCGGAAAAGATAACAAAAGGAAAAATAATTAAAAACATATATTGTCGAAAAAAGAAATATTCATTGCTATGCATGGAGAGTAGGCATATCGATTATACGAAGCAACGTGTCTGGACGCTTAAACCTGGACGTGGAAAATAATGTTGCGTATCGCCAGACTGATAAGAAACTTTTATTAGTCGAAAGATAACGTAAAATGTACGGCAATATGGTCCATATATATATAAAATATACGTAACTGTACCTCGTTGCGGCTGGAGATGATCGATATATAATTAATATCTTTCCGGAATTTCCTTCGCAATAAATAATAGCTATCCAGATGATGAAGAAATTTCTAACTCTCGAGTGTGCAATTTTTGGCTTCGGTTTTTCAATCGATCCACCTGCAATTACGCTCCGAATTACATTTATTGAAATAGACAAATTACAAAGATTTAATCCGACAATTCAAATGCATTTTAAATCGTCTTGATTTAAATCTATAAATTATGAAGAGTTAATTCAGTTTTTTTTATAGATATGGAAGAGTTGAAAGCAATTCAGGTATTTCACTCTCTTCGTAATCTTCATAAATAATTGATGAACGAAGTTCATCGATTAAAGGGTAAAAATAAAAAAAAAAACAAAAAACACAAAGTACACATAAATGATTTATTTTCGCATCTTTTTCCAAAGTGAGTTATAAAAATAATTATGCATAAGATTTCCCTCTGCAAGAGAGAAGATCGCATCTCTCTTATGTGCATACATCAAGTAATAATATTTGCTGTCCGAAATAACACATATGGTTTGAGCGCGCATTCGACACGTCGGTCTGTTTGATAATACACAAACGTAAATGTACACTAAATTGTTATTGTGTATCGATAAATACAGAACGTTCCAGGATAGAAGAAATATTTCGGTAACAGTTTTCTTGATTTTTTCTTAAGATTTTTCAAATATTATCTCTAATATTGTTGAATGGTTTAGAGAAGTTTCTTAAATCGATCGAAATACCAATCAAGAAATTCCCAGCAAATATGGAACAGTCTATATATTCGAACAAACTATAGCGCGAATACTTGACGCGTATGTATTGTATATTAATTTAACGGATATTGCTAATTGGTTTGGGAGAATACGCTAATTATAGGGATATCGTGATAACAATTTGCAACAAAAATTCATACATAACATATAGGAATATTCACACATACTTGATTTAAGACAAACTCGATCACAATTCTACCTTCGATAATCTCGCGGACAATTCTCGTTTTTCCATAGATGTGCATTTATATAATAACAATTATTATTTGCGCGACAGATGATACAACTATTCGACCGCCTTCTAATATTCCGCATCTCAAGCGCCGACTACTCTTCGTGATTGCGAAATTGTTTTAATTGGCCCCCACCTTGAACATCTAGTTTCCCACAATGTATGATCGACTTATCGTATCTTCTAGTTTCAGAAAATAGATGAAATCTACTATCTAGAGTATGTGTTCCACTACGTATGCATTCTCGATTTCTGAAATACGATTCGCTTACGGATGATTGTCTTATCAAGTACCTAATTAATTTGTTATTCCTACATACTAGATCGATGCAAGAGAGAGAAAGTAATTAATTAATTAAGTATAAGGTAATGATTTAGTGAAATTAAATTGATAGTCGAGTGACTGTAATTAACTGTATTTTCACAAAAGGAGAAAAATTATCGTGCGATTCAAGTACGATATATTTTAAATAAAAATATATTAAATTAAATGCAATTTAATTGTTCGCGCATCGATCTAATATACCTTCCGCGTCCTTTTACGTCCGATAAAAACCTCTCGAACCGGTTATAGATGATTGCGCGACACGGCGTACTTCGGTCGTCTTGTCCTCGCCGGATAACCGCCTCTGTCTTTGTTTCTCGCCAAGCAACGCGCACACCAAGAGATTTTCACGATGGAGAGCGACCAGTTGACGCAAACGATTCCGCGCAGTTCCTGTCTGCGTAACGATATCGTTGAGACCGCCGTCGAGTCGATCCAAACTGCCGCTGATGTTGGCGATCATATCGAGGAGCAGACCATCCCGCTTGCGCACCTCCACCGTGAGCTTCCTGCCGCCAACCGATCAAATAACAACCAAGATCTCTCAGGATTCTTTCTCCACTGTGCTAAATCTCTCCGACGATCGACAAGATTGTACTCCATCAATTTTTCGCAAACGTTTATCCATAATGTAGCACGTCCGCGCGCCGCGTATCTTCAGGTACTGTGGCAAAACTGTCTAAGGCATTAATCCCAGCAAGTTCCTCTGCATCGACGGCAATGTCATTTCCAAGGAATACGCAGATACGCCTCTCGCACTCTCATCGCATCGACCTGGTGCGTTTCCGAAGAATCGGAAGGACAGAATCGCTGGATATGACGTTTTTACTGTGTTGTCGAAGTGGAATACAGATAATCTTTCTATTCTTTTCCACCAGTCGAATCGTTCATTACGTTAATCGAAAGTCGATCAAATTGAGCGAGAGATAGAATAACGGCCGATATAAATAATAACCGGCCGAAGAAAATACTGTGACGTGCGTTTTTTCTCAACACCGAGCTAAAAGTCAGGCTCTCTCTCTCTATATATATATATCTATTTCTCTCTCCTGAGACTCTCGATTTCTGTTCTTTTTCCGGCACGGGCGCCTACGTTTTTTATCTATTATTAAAGACGGGGCGCGGCTATATTTCGGCATGCCACTCGTTCCGCCGCTGCCCGCCAACCGATCAAATAACAACCAAGATCTCTCAGGATTCTTCCTCCACTGTGCTAAATCTCTCCGACGATCGACAATATTGTACTCCATCAATTTTTCGCAAACGTTTATCCATAATGTAGCACGTCCGCGCGCCGCGTATCTTCAGGTACTGTGGCAAAACTGTCTAAGGCATTCGATGCATTATATTCTCATGAGAGAAAGATTGAAACCTTATGGAATCCACTTCTCTCTATAGACCTATGCTCTTCCAGATCGCAGTGCCAATCATAAGTGCGAGAAAAAGATGATTGGCTTTTCCTGAATCGCTATAGCTCCTGATACAGGATTCTGACAGATCCTGATTAGGATAAACGAAGACTTAGTATTGCTCGTCATTGATCTAAGAACGTTTCACTCTTATTCCGAATTATTAATCTTCGCATACGCGATGAAAGTTTTTCATTCTGTCCTCAGTTTGGCACGTAATAAATCTTGGATATGTCGATCGCGTGCTGACGCTCTCGGCGGCTGACGATCCATCACTTGGAGATGTCACATGCAATGTCACATGTCGAAATGTCATCCGTTCGTAAGAATGCCGCGATCGAAGAACCACCGCGAGGATGCCATCGCCTCTCGTACTTGTTGAACGTTGCGAGGTCGGACTGAAGACACTTGCTACTCGCGAGGACACTCGCCCCACGTGTAGGCGCGGCCGTCTCATCCCCGAGATTGTGCGGTCGTCCCCGAGCAACCCCGATGATCATCTTCAGGGACGTAACTTTCCGTCTGATGTCCACAGGTCTAATTTAAATCGCTGGGCCGCATGAGATATGCCAAAGTATGTCTTAATATATATTTATATCGACGTGTATTAATATCTATTTTGCATAATTTATCTATTAACGAGCAATGTCAAAAAATCTATTATAAAATTAGCAATAAGTAGACATATTTTTTCCCAACGTCAAACCAGGATTATGATTCTCGTTGAAATTTCTCTCGTGACATTCGATTTTGATTGTCTGATCGGAGATTCTAGAGAAGACACTTTCGCGGCTGATGTTTTGCAACAGACACTGGGAATGACACTGAGAGATCGAAAACTACCGCGATCCGACATGTATGTACCGAAATAGTTGGCGCATGCGTCTATTAATCAATAAGGGACACCCCTTTGTCGCGACCGGCTGTCAAATGACTCGAAAACGTTGTCGGTGACTCGAGGTATTTCGAGAGATTGTCGTACAGTCCTCGACGATCTCAATCCGATCGATCTTGCTTAACTCGATTGTCACCGATTAAAGCGAACGCGATCACTTGGTTTTCTCCGGCGTGACGTCGAATGACGGCACTTCTCTCAATGAGACTTCGGCGTATTTTCGTGGAGGAAGAAACCTGCGAAGAGAATGTAACGAGAGAGTTGCATTACGAGGAGAGACTGCAAAGAAAATGTCGATCGTGATAAGCCCAGAAGTACTTTATGCGCCCATAATGATTACGCGTGATTATCGTTATCTCAGGTATACGATCCATGGGTTTTTGTCGTTATCGCACCTTTGCAATGAAATGACGACCAGCAAAATTTAATAGTCGCTCGTGTGTCATTCGCTTAACAAGTGAAATACCTTTTTTTTATTAGTGGAATTTTAATCTGTTTATAGAACTGGATACGCGTACTTTAGAAAAAGAGCGCCGATATAATATTATATAGCCAATGTTGAAAGATAAAGTAAATTCATTTATTAATATATCTGAATAGACTTAATGTGTTCATGAAATTTATCTTAATTATACTTTAAGAGTACAAGTGTTTCTAAAATACACAAAGTTTTATCTTTAATAGTAATTGAATTTAATCGAACAGAAAAATAAGAGAAAAAAAGGAGGAGGAAACGCATATAAATTACACACATAAAAATGATTGATAAATCCTGAAAATTTTGTCACATACCTTTTCATAATCGGCGTAATATGATCAGGATTCACGCTCTCCAAATCCACGCCGAATATATAGCTCGCAATAGTTCCGGCGACGACGACAATCGCCGCTCCTATTATGGTATAATGCATAAAGGATATTTGAAATAACATCATTGGTTCCTCGTCGGGATCCATCCAAGCAGGCGTCGGTATCATGGTCGTAAGGGTTTCGTTCAATGGGTACGGGCAACCATCCATCGATGTGGGCAGCGAATCCTGCTTAATCCTGCCGTGCATGATATGCCATTGAGTGCCTCCCACTAGCCAAGCCATACTAATTAAACCGACACAGCTACCCAATAGCACGCCTTTCGTGTTCGCCCAAGGTACCAGTATTCCTAGTGCGAAGAGACCCAGCAAAGGTCCGTCAGTCATGCCACGTGTACTCAAAGCTATCTGAAAGACCGGGCCCAATTGCTCGACCAGGAATACCAAGCCAACCGAAATTGCACCGGTTACCAAAACAATGATCTGAAAAATCAATCAATCGATCAATTAAACAATTATTTAAATTTAAATTACCGAAAGGACGTCGTAAGGTGTGTTGCTTACCTTCATAATATTAGCAGCTATAGCTTCCTTCTTGGGGCTATCCGGGATCCACGGACTTATAAAATCCTCATAAATAGTACCGGAGACGGTGTTCAAACTGGCGCTCATAGTTGCAAGCGCGGCGCTCACCAGGCCCGCCAGGAATAATCCTGGAAGTCCTGGTAGATGTCCAGCGACGTCCATCACGTAGTACGGTAAGGTCTGATCGGTGCGGCTTATTGCCTGTGAACGATAAAAGTTTTCCATAATCGAAAGATCATAATTATAACGATAAAAAAAATTAACATAGCAATTACTTTCTTTTCTTCAAACATTAAAATAATTTTTTAAAATGCACGATTTGAGAATATCATTTACTTGTACCTTGGTCAGGAAAGGATCACAGTCATGATATTTAGCAAACATTATTAATCCAGTGAACACACTGATCAGTTTGACAATGATTAGTCCTATCGCAGTAATCACGGTGCCGCTACATGTGCAATAAAAAAAACATTATTAAAGCATTATTCCTGAATTTTTATAGAATCTTCCCGTATTAGACGATCCTATAATTTGCAACAAGATAGAATAGCAGGTATGAAATCAGTCGATGGAATTTTATTATGGAAGTTATAGATCGTCTATAGTATCTTAGTGAAGGACTTACTGCTTGGCATCGATTTCTCTAGGCACTGACAGAAATCGCTGCACAGTACCCGGATGAATAGCGAGATGACCGAGCCACGTTGCTGTCATGCCTACAAGCATGCCCCAGAAAGTGTTTCTTGCGAATGGGCTTGGATCCATGCTATATTAATAATAATAATAATAATATATGAAATATAATATACGATAAAATACAAAAAAAAAAGTTTATCTTCGTGTTTTTGTTTTACTTGATCCTATAATTTGCAACAAGATAGAATAGCAGGTATGAAATCAGTCGATGGAATTTTATCGCAAGTTATAGATCGTCTATAGTATCTTAGTGAAGGACTTACTGCTTGGCATCGATTTCTCTAGGCACTGACAGAAATCGCTGCACAGTACCCGGATGAATAGCGAGATGACCGAGCCACGTTGCTGTCATGCCTACAAGCATGCCCCAGAAAGTGTTTCTTGCGAATGGGCTTGGATCCATGCTATATTAATAATAATAATAATAATATATGAAATATAATATACGATAAAATACAAAAAAAAAAGTTTATCTTCGTGTTTTTGTTTTACTTGAAGAAAATAAGACGACCGCCTTCGTCGGAAATTCTCCACACTTTTTCAACGCTGCCCACAGACTTTATTCCCAGCACGAGAATCGCGAACAGACCTCCGATAGTCACGGAAAACTGTATAGTATCCGTCCATACAACCGCTTTTAGACCACCCTGCACATGGCAGCAAAAAGAATTCCAAAATTTAAGATAATGTAAAATTCTTTGTAAATAGTTTTAGATTATATAAATTTTAAATTTTTCTCAAGCTTTTTCTCGGATAGTTTGCGATATAAAAATCACTGTTATTTCACTTTCAAATTTAATGTTCTTGTATTTCTTGTATTATACGTTATTAGTACTTTATTAATGCTTAAGGATGACACATTTTTTTTGGTATTAAACAATGTAAATACTAAATTTATTTCTACTTACAATGCTGGTATAAATGATGCACACGATGCAAAGTACCGGCGTTATCATGTGAACACTGAGATTGGTGACTTGCGCAAAGGCGATAGCGGGCACATAGATGACAATGGGCACGTACATGAAGAGTGAAATGGTGAACAGTATCGAGGAGAGGATTCTGACTGGCCTAGCGAATCTAACTTCCAGGTACTCGAAAGTGCTGTTTAATTGCAGTTTGTAAAATACTGGTAGGAAAATGTAGGAAGTGATCACAGCGGTGAGGATCGACGTGATCACGCATGCGGTATACTGTGTCCCATGATGAAAGACTTCCGCAGGTATGCCCAGCAAGGTAATTCCCGAGATGTGGCTAAACAGTTACAAGTTCATGTGTGATTAAGTATATACAGAAAAATAAAAAAGATTTATTAATCATTATTTCTCACACGATAATCGAAGAGTCACTGACCTAGCGATGATGCTCATTGCGACAGGGAAGCATCCCATGCGTTTACCGCCCAGAAGATACTCCGTCGTGCTATCTTGCTTGCTGAAGAAGGCAAAATACACGCCGATGAGGACGCTGACGAGCAGTAACAGGCTGAAGAGTGCGTAATCGATCCATCCGAACATAAAGTAATCCAACTTTTCTATTGGATTTAACTCGATACCAGGGGTGGTGAAAGGATTCTCCATTGCTCTTTGAACTCATCAACAACCTTCCTTACGAATACTGAGAACGGAGAATGTCATCCGCAATATATATAATGTTTGGAGCTCTTCTCATTCTTCATGCCTGTTATATCTAGCTAGTTTGATCTGGCGTAAGAATCGTGAAACAGGACGTAATCTGAGGTTGCTGACTTGCAATACGACGACATATTATAATCCTAGCGTGAGACAATAATTTATGATCGGCCTGATAATGTATGTGGAACTTGATGACGAAAGGCGGTATCTTGATGGTGAACAAGAGAGATGTCAAAGGAAAATGTGACGAGAATTGTATTTAAAGATAATATCAAGTTTATACTAAACAAGATTGAAAGTAAGGAATCGATATAAAGGATCGAAATACTGATGATTTTAATCGTGGCTTATTATACGACTTGTCGACTGAATAAACTTAATCAATTTTATTAATTTACAGCTATAATCGCGCGCAGATATGTACATCAATTATACTAACAGAATATGTCAATTCTAAGCTTATGATATATAATTAGTTACTTTCGTCCATCAAATATAACATTTAGCTACGCTTTTTCGAATCTATTCATACTTTCATATAAGATATACGAAAGATGGGGATTAATTATATCAATTTTAACGCTGCGATTCTTCAATTCCCGATTTACGATCTTCTATTTACATATTTACAAACTTACAATCCTATGGAATTTTCCAAGAGAAAACGCAAACAGAGATTTGGAATGTTTAAACGCCGTATATTTAATCTGCTCCCGCCACGTGCTCGAATCTAAAAGTTTCTCTCTGGTAAAGATAATAGCTCAGATACCCGATATCACCGTACAAGGTTATATATGTAACACAGCAAGATTTGCGACAAGAGGAACCAAGCGGAGATTCGACTAGTTGATGCCGAAGAGAATAAACCAATATATAAGATTCTTTGAAGATACGTTCGCAAAGCAGGGTTGTAGGGTGAAAGTTGCGCGCATCGCCGTAGAGGTGCATCCCACATATTGTCATCTCGCGAACCCAACAGCAAAATGTACTGGCCATGCCAGTTGACACTCAGCTTGGCCCGCAATTCCAAGATCGGGGACGTTTCGATGGTGCGGGGAACGCAATTTCTTGGCAAGGTAGTCAGCGGCGAAACAAACCGGTCTTTATCGCAACGAATGGATACCGCGGGGTCTCTTGGAATCAAAATGTTCTTAATAATATGCAGATCCAACTCTGTAGTGCCGATAAGAACTTTCGAGGCAGAAAAAGGCTTTCTAGTAGTGCTCTCGTATGTCTGATGACCTCGCAACATCGCCGCAAATCTCGATTGAGTTATGGAGGATGGTGCATCGTATACAAACTGATGAACGCTATCACGCACCGATCTTTCCTGTCTTTGTGTTTTTTTATGTTTAGATTGTTTTTTATCTTTCGATGATCTATTCTTATTATATAAATTATTTTGATAAAGCTCTGCACTACGGATAGTCCTAGTATTGGTAACACTTCTTTTAAAAACAAACTTCCCAGTGGTATTAAGAAAGTAATCAGGAAAAATATCTTGATCGATTTCTTCATCATCCTGTCTTTCAGCTCGCTGGACGTAACTTCCTATCCTGAGTATCCCGTACAAAAATTTCAAACAATGTGGATCATCGTAATAGTCCCATTGACCGACCCACAATTCATCTCCAGAGTATATCTGAAATTTCCGTCTGAACCAGATGCCGCCTGCAGAGCTCTCGCATCTTTCGCTGTGCCAAATACCTCCAATCATTGCAGGTAGAGCTGCGGTTTGATGAAGAAGAGGCGGACTTGATTCGGTACTGTGAAATACGTTCCTACATATCGGGCAATTCGTCATCTGCAATATTAACAATACTTTTGACTTTGTTACGCCTTATATTATATAGAATTAAATGCATGAATAATACAATATATGTAACAATTACGTGTATCAATTACCGCGAGAATCTTTAATTTTTTCATCATTGATTGTGTTTTACAACAAGATTTTATTTAAAATAAATTGACAAACTTAAAGAAATCTGAACAAACGTACTGAATCTTGGCGGCTCAGTGCAGTGGATTGTAACGAAGTTGGTTTATAATTCCGGCGAGAATGTGCATTAGGAACGGGGTTGGCCAATAAAAGTTGAAAGTGTGGAAGTTCATTGGACCAAGTGCCGTTGGATGAATCACGTCCTGATGAGACTTTGTTATGCACTCTTAACAGCTTCAGTTCGGAGAATTCAATTCCAAAGAGCTCCAAACAATTGATACCAAGCTGCTTGTTTGTAGCTTGCAAAGAATTGTAGTTGGGACTTTGCCACAACGACGTCACCGAGTGTTGTCGCGGCTGCTCGTAAATCAGCGCGGAAGTATAGAGTCGCCATTTCGGTTGGGGACCGCAAGTCAGATTCAGTTTTTGTCCAAACTTTTGAGTGACCTGCAAAATCAATTTTCAATCACAACATTTTATGTATTCATATGTACTGGAGAGAATTTTATTGACTAAGCTTCTCTAATTGATTTGTAAATACCTCTGGAGTCAAAGGTACAATATTAACGGCATCTACGTGAAACCTCGTCTCTGTAGCGCCTGAAACGACGGTAGATGGTCTCAGTAACTTTATGGAACCCCGAATTATGACAGTATGTGTCGCTATGCTGCACGACTCTTCGGCGTAATGATAACGTAATAGAAGAAATGTGCCGTTCTTGAAAAAAGTATATTTCCGAAGTATATACTGCGGGCCGGCTCGCATCTCGCACCTATAAAAAGAAAAAAATAATGTCACAAATTTTGCTTGAAATACATGCTATTTGAATAATATAATTTATGAAAGAAGAGGATAATTACTGTTGAGACAGCCATGTGTACTGCAATCTGGAAGAACTATCATCCTCGATCGCCGCACGGTTTTCTTTTTCTATCTCCTTAATAGCCTCTTCGCATTGTTTATACGGATTTATAATGTCTAGATCTTCACTCATAGCTAGGCTCGTCCTGGCTGTAAGACAAAGGGTGCAATTCAGTAATGCAATAAACGCGGAAGGTCAATAGAAAATGTTTCCCTCTGGCGCAAGGTAAATGGCCGTAAGGTAGAAATACATAGAGATAAGTTTTCAATCTTTGTAAATGACATGAGTCAAATAAAAAAAAGGACCACTCGCCGCGAGTTTGCCTAAGATTTAAGAGTCAAACGGCTGAAAACGGCAAAAGATGAATGTGTTCGATCATATTAAATTATGCTCGGCTCGGTAATGTATGTACCCATCGATAAAGGTTGACCTTTTGGGTCTGCTACCTGGACCGAACGAGCTTTCCACCGATGTGACAAGCCAATCTTTGTTCCGCAATGATCTTTCGTCTCCGCGGGACCCTTCCGAGTTTGACAATTCTAAAGTTCCTGCTGCGAAAGGTAAGACTATGTCGCACGCGACAAAGATTGATTGGGCAGTTTCGTAAAAAAATAAAAAATATTCACGCTATGAATATATATATATATATATATATATATATGTATATATATAAGATGGATAAATGTTATTAAACGAAATTACGTAGAATGTAACGTCATTATTACTCTTATTCAGCGATAAACGAAATCATTTTATCTTGGCATATTTTTTATTTACGACAACGACGTTAATCTTATAGTGTAACATTGCCAAACAGAAGGTTGTCGGAAATCACGATCTCTCGGTCTTGATGAATCAAAATTTGTTTAACATATCGCGAAACCGCTCATGTTAACCGAGACAAAGAGAGAATAGACAAACGCAGATTACATAATTTATTAACAAGGCAAGAGAAAGCCAGTTTACGTCAGTTTCGTACAGAGAAAATGTTATGCGAATTAACCCTTCAACTTTAAACTTTTTTAAAACTTTAACAATTTTACACAATTAGCAATTAGCTTTTAAAACTTTACACTATTCATAACTCATTTTATCCCTCTCTTTTCGCCACTTTTATAAAATCCAAGTACGAATAGAAAATATATATTTTTCTTTTACAATATTAATAGAAAAATTCTTTCGTTTGATGTCTGTAACTCTTAAATTAATAAATAAAAAAAAGCGAATAAACTATTTGATTAATTATTTTATACGTTGGTAAAATTCAAGTTTGTTCCAATACTCGCAGCGTTGAAGGCTCAACCGACGCATAACAATGCGAAATGCCATCGCGTGCCAATCGAAGAGATGCAGCTTGCATCTAGGAAATTGCTAATTGTAAGAAGAAATCAAAAGCGAGAGGAAATAACTCCATGGGATGCTCTCACGCGACTATTTAATATTCAATCGGCGCGCGACGTCTCGCCACGTTTGTCCTTCCTCTTTCATTGCGATGTTATTGCGTGTTATTGATATTCCAGCTGTGTGCTGTTGGAACTTTGACAGCGAATTGGTAATGCAACGATCGACAAGCTGGCGACGACAACTACCGTAGTACGTAACGACGACTTTACATGAACTGTGAACATTATAAAATTTTAAGAAATTAAATTATTAAACCAGCTCGGTGCAAAAGTTTCATCGCACACGTGTTTTTCTGCTAAATTTAAGAAAAATTACTTCCAAATTGTCCACTGTATTTCGCTTTCAACTTTACTTGACAGATAAATCAATATTATCAATGTTTACGTTAATTACTTCAGATTCACATTATTATATTATAGATTTTACTAATAAGAGAAAAAATTTTCTATTATGAACGCAAAATCATCTTGTATCGTGATTTTTGTCAACTGACTAAAGGACAATTTCAATAATTTTCTTTTTCAAAGTGGAACGATTTTTGGGGTTTAGTTTGCATTATATCTGCTACAACGTTACGTCGTTGGTGGTGTCTCGCGTCCTCATCAGCGGCGCACACGTGTGCCTCGTGTGCTCCTATCTCGTGCACATGTGCAACTTCCTCTTTTCCAAATACTGGAATGTGTCGCGTTCTCTTTCGCCCTAATACTCTTTGATATATGTATAAAAACTATCGCGAGACATTAGAAATTCTTTATAACATATATCAAGCATTAAAATCGCGGCGAATGGTCTCCGGATATTATTCCTTTACTGTATTTTTTCTCAATCACATAACGAAAATTCTAATATCACAAAAATTCATTTGAGTAATTTCGCGCTTTCTCTTTCTCTCTATCCTTTTTCCCTCACTGTATTTATTTTATATACACAATATATCTCGCGCGCACAGATACTTACTCGTCGACAGAATAGCAACGACGACGGTAAATGCCGCTGCAACACTCATTTCGTTGCTCGTCTTATAGTATCAATTAATAGCGAGAACACTCACAAGCGCGCGTGTTTTTATATTCGTATAAATTCCGCTTTCAGGTATTTCAAACGGAACGGTGACAACTCGTCCTCGCGTTACAACTGGCACGTCTCCTCCGGAGTACTCACGTCAGTTTCTTGGACGACCTACCCCAAAGCTATATAGCCCCGTCCCCACTCTGTGGCTCGATCCAACCACGAGCGTCTTCCGAATCGTATCCAGCGAGGGATTCGAGCGAGGGGGAGAAAAGCAAAACACATTCTCATCTTTCCCCCTGCGCTCTAAGAATCGGGCCGAACCCCGCTGCGAGGGTTCAAGCGCTCTGTAGAGATTTATACAGCGCCCCAACTTGGTGGCATAGTGCCCCACTGAGTCCTGTACCTGAGAAGCGGAGATATTCCTCTCCCGGTCTCTCGCCGGGATAAGAAGCTGAGCTCTCTCTCTCTTTCTTGAAGATAAACATCCGTACATATCACCCGTACCTTGGCGTGCGCCGGGAAACTTGGACGGCAGGTTGTCTCGGGTTGAAAAAAATGTGAACGAAGAAAGAGATATTGTTCTCGCGTGCTGCGATATAATCACATATGTCTCAAAAATAGAGAGAGACTCGTAGGCGTAGATATTAATCCTCGCGCGATGGAAAGTTTTGTACACAGTATTAGGGATGTAACCTCGAAGCTAGCCTTTTTTCATTTTCTACAAGAACGTCAAACGTTTGTCATCTTGTTCCCCGATAATATCAATATTTGAATAAAAGATAAAAAGAGAGACAATATGCACATTCATAACTTTACCTTATCAATATCGATGGGATAAGAAAAATTCGCCAGATACTCTCTCGTTCGTCTAGTACACGAAATACATATATTGTCGGCAGAAATATTCAATGCACACGTGCCAGTCGGAAAGTTTCTGATCGAAAGGACACACACATACACATAAAAACGGTGGAACTTCTCTTGTCCATTTCAACATCGTCCCCGCTGAAATCGGCTGGAAATGATGTGAATTTATAGGGCAGGGAGGCGGAACGTATCGCGATTAGCCTCCATCTGACAATCCGGGCGCATCTTTATACGTGCCCTCGCGCTTAAAAGAGACGTTACCTATAACGTTTTAAGAGCGATCCGGCTGCACAATATATGTGACAAGGAGAGGAGAAAAGGGGGATAAAGGTGCCTTATTCTCTCTCTCTCTCTCTCTCTTTCATATTTGTCCGATGACTTTTCCGATCTCGATTTCTTTTGCGGCCATGCATCAGGAATCGTCGACACAATTGAGACATTTTGCGTGAACGGGGCGGGAAACTGGTGGTGGGTGGTCGGAACATCTGCAGGAACTTGCATCTGCCTTCTAAAACATATTGTCGACGCCTAAAATCATTCGATAAAGTGTCTCCTTTAGCGATTTAAGATCTATATATTCCTTTGTATTTTTTGTATACTTTTTTTCAATTTTCGCATTTCTCTTTCATCCTTTCTTTCCACACACAAGACTCGACTATACATGTTTATGTACCTGATTTTAAGCGCAGAGCACGTGTGCATTGCAATCTTTGCAGGAAAATAAAATGTTCATCCCTCTTCTCTTTTTATCTTTCTAACAAAATTGCTCCGATGTAATCTCGTCTTCCCGCCAGACACGAATAGCTTCGTCACGATTTTCTGTGAACAATTTTACAAACCTTGTCGATCGATAAACAGAACATTTATTATTTACCGCGGTTGGAAATGCAGAGAACTAACTTGTGAACAAATAATAATGTCGATAGAAAGTTTTAAAATATTACTACTGTGTCGGTAAAAAAGCGCTTTGCAAATACATATAGCGACTACTCGGCACGTGTGCTCTTGTCTCTCTTCATTTCTCCTGTAAACGACAAACGCTCTATCTCTCTGGCTCTATGTTACGGCAAAGAAGTGTTTACGAGAATGGCGAAACTCAATTCATATTATACGCTGTGTCCACTCATCGACCAGCAGAATTTATTGGGTGTCGAGAAAGACAAGGAACCGGGTTGTGCGATAGTGACTCTTGGCAGAAACATAGTTATACGATATAAAGTTAGATATTAGCTAACACTTACTGTATTTTAATTGTTAATTCATCTGTGAATCGTTTTAATTGATTCGTATGTATTTGCAGCTGCAAGACTTGAAGCAGATCAGCAGCTGGTCGAGCAAGGAAAGATTGACGACACAAGTCATCTACGACAAATCTAAACAGCGTTATGTTGCTGCCTTCAATGAAAGAAAGGTACGAGTTTGGTCGGAAGAGGAGGCAGACTTAAACAACGTGAAAGGATACAAGTTTCAGTCGCCACTCCACGCTATTCTACAATACGGCGACCTGCCACCTATTCTGGTTCAGCAGAATGGAGCTACTGCTTCTTTAGAGTGGGCAATTGCAAATAGAAAGACATGGACAAGCAAGGGTATAACCAAAGCTAAAGAAAAATTATTGGATTGTCAATTGATACATTTAAATGGGAAGACAAGTTTGTTTTGCTTAACAAAGATAGAGGAGATTTATAACTATGTAATAGTTAAATTGGAGGATGTTACTTGCTTGGAAAGAGTAGATACCATCAAGAGGATAGAATTAAAACGAAGATCAGAGGATCTTGTGGGCCATGCGGTAATACACTACAAGAACAATGCGTATCTGTTAACTTTATGTATGTGTGATCAATTGTTACATGCAAATTTTAATTATTCTTTTTTTTTATGGTAAGATGTATCAATCGATATTGTTAAATTATTTCAGGGTCGCACGGTAGATTGTACAGTCACTTCTTGACAGGGACGTCCTCCGATCCAGAATCTAGCAAGCTGATCAGTGTAATTACCAATATCAACACAAACTATCCTGTGGTCATGACGCACTTGAATGAAACAACTATAGCGGTTTACGGTGCCGATGTTACGGACGAGGGCGCCATACTAATGATATACAATGTACAGTTCAAATTGGTACAAGCGGCGCAAAAGCTGAAGCTTTACACTAAGGACGCCAAGCTCTGGAAAGTGGAGGACAAATTGTTGCTTGCGGCAAACAGACACTTGGCTGTTGCTCCTTATCATCTTGCACCGCAAAGAATAGCTGCTATGCTGGGCTCCTCCTTGCGCTTCAAAAACGACGAAAATGATGCGGACGATATCGTTGTGATACAAGAAGCGACAGTGGCTCAATGGGACAAGTGCCAAAAGCGAACGAAGCACTCGGCGATAGGCCGAATACCTTCAAATATCTCTAAACAAATCCACACTTATTTGAACGAGGGATGGAGCGACGCTGTGATACAGGAGACGTTGATCCCATCCCTGACGGAATCTAACGACGTCGCGTCGATTCGCTGGTGTCTCGACACATTTAAAGATTTGCCGGAAAAGTTACTGGTGCATCTTTTGGCATTTGCCTTGAATCGTCCAGACAAGATATTCGTTCCTGTACAAAACGGTACTACCGATAGTGTATCAAAAGCTAATAATCCTTACTCGAGAAACAGTTTTCTAGATAAAATATTTAGTATCAGTTATTCTAGTGCGTCTTTGTTACCTCACTTGAAAACCGGTTTAACTTTCGACGAAGTGCTTAAACTGTTGGAATATTTAATGCATAAGTTGAACGAAGAAATGGACTCGCTTGACAATAATTTGGAGCCAAGTGATCAGCAACTATACGAGTGGTCCTGTATGCTTCTCGATTCTCACTATCAACATTATCTATTATCACAAGATGCACATGTTTTAGAGCTTTTCAATAAGCTAAATTCCATCTTAGAAGAGCATGTAAGTGTGTCAAAATTATTCTCCATATGTATAATATTCTATCATCTTCTATATTTAATAGAGATTACTTTAATTATTAGTTTCAGTTCTTGCAAGATCTCGAGAATTTGAGGCCCATAATAGAAAGGACCAATAACGGAAAATCATTACGATCTTCTTCAAGAAGACACAATAAATTTTATTCTATAGAAGAAATAAAACTTTATTAAATTATAAATTAAATATATGAGAGATATGCACTCTTTCATCCAATATAGATAAAGTGTACGAAGATGTACTTTTTATACATATTTTTCCATTCATTTGAAGCCATAGATGTAAATTATATAAACGCTACTGAAAAATAATTAACACACAAAAAATTTCCGTGTTCCATTTTTTATCATCTTATTTTATATATCTTCTCTCTTTCCATATTGGAAGTAAATAAGATATCTAAGGCAGATATCGAACTATGCGAATTACAGCGATGTTATCTTTTTATTAATATCGCAGGTAGATTCTACACTTTTTCTAAACTGGACAGAAGATTTAAAAATCAGGAATTTACAGATACTGTCCAGATTTTCGACATTACATCTACTTTAATTCATCGACATAAGGAACGTTGGATAGATCTCCAATTGCGGCCAGCGACAATTTTCCGCTACAGAGTTTCCCGGCAACCTGAAAACCGTAAAGGAATAAAATTGTTTGTATTTGTTGATCGTAAATATATATTATATAATATATATAAATTGTATATACGGGAAATCGGACTAGAGAAAAATATTTCTTCTAAGACTGTGCAAAAGAGGATAAATTGTATACAAAAATCTCAGGTTAACAAATGATATTGTGGGAAATGAAATCTGAAACGTACCGATTTGACATCGGATGCCGTTACTTTTTCCACTTCCGCAACGAGAGCAGACGGCTGGTACACGCGGTTTTTGAGAATTGCTTGCTGTCCCAGATTCTCCAAAAGCGCAGGCTCATTATTCGCTGCGTATAATATCTCTGCTTTCAACGTAGTCTTACCGCGAGCGATATCAGCATCGGAGAGCTGCGGCGATCTCAGATATGCAGCAGCAGCTTTAGTTATCTACGAAACATTTTTTTTCGTATATGTGTACCAGATAAAAAATTATTTAAAATTCATCTTTATGAGCAATACATACAGAATCGACGCAATTGGGTACAGAAGACAAAACGAAACCAAATAGTCCAGAATCGCTGTAGGAGGCATTGAATGATGCGATGGCAAATTGGTCAGTGCTTGCCGCGCTGGATATCTCTCTCTGCAATGGAGACACGCTTGAGCCCCATTTTACACGCGGACCAGAACAGACTGCTCTCTGCAGGATAGCGTAAGCGAGAGCATCTTTCTCCTTGTTCAAACCCGCGGCTTCAACAGCTACCGCTACAGTGGACAACTCGGAGGATCGTTCCTTGCGAATTTCCCCTCCGTGATACTTGGCGGTTTCCGCGGCATTATCACCCGAACACACTTTCAGATTCGAAGCGAACTGAGATATGTCCGATAGCGGCACGCCTGTTGCAACAACCGCGCAATTGCAGCCGGTGAACCAGGTGTTGACAAAATGTTGTAACTGTAAAGAAAAACTTGTTCCTTACACTATATATTAGTATGCGACATTACATATAGCTTATCATACATACACTTTCTGTATTTATCTTTCCAAGTTGTCTCTTTGGCGAATACAGGGAGTACCCTAATCCAGTGCGGTAGGCTGCTTTGTGTAACAATTCCATTACACGGGTTGTTTCAGGTATCATGGACAATTCATAGCGCAGTCTGGGTAGCTGATCGGCTATTTCCCATGGTTTGAACACTTGCTGTGTGGCGACATCCTCCAGGAAAGTCAAAGCTTTGTCTCTTACATCATATAATACAAGAATATAAATGCTTAGAATTACTTAATAAGTACATATTTTAATAAAGTGCTACCTACAAGTTATTTCTTGTAATTTGTAATGTGTAAGCAATACTTTCACGATCTGTGGTAGTAACTAAATTTCCACCAAGTTGTTGGATATTTCTGGTTATCCCAAAGGTGGTCGATCTACAAGTACTTAAACCGGCAGCAATACGAAGATGATGTGTTATACCTTGGGTGTTGTATGTCTCATTGCGCGAGCCAGCTCTAAATATAAAAACAATTGTAAGAAAAAAATCATTTTACCCAAGGCAACTGTACTAATTATTAATTTATTATTTTCATACCTGAAGATAATGGATACTTGAGCGATGGGACTATTATTATCGAGTGCAGCGACAGTTACCTTATTACTCGACAAAACCTGAAGTTCAGGAACTGTCGTGCTGGAGCACTGAGCTGCTGCGGCAGCTGCATAACGCCTTACCTAACAAATGTTAAAGAAGTATATTTAAAAAAAAACATAAAATGTAAAATCATAAAATATTTGAAGAATGTAATAGCTTAAAGTTCTTTCATTTATGCAAAGACATTATACAGTTATAGAACGTTTCAATGAGACAAGACATGGGTATAATTGCACAATTGTGAAATGTAGCACAATTGAGTTTTGAAAATAATTTCGAGTTCGATGAGATGATATTTACAATCATTTTTGCTGCAAAATTATTTCGAGCGATTTAAAATTGTCACACAAAGTTAGCACATACGTATAGTTTTTCAACGATTTACATAACATCTGTATTACAGGCAAAGTAAAGGGTGAATGATATGATATCCGGCAAGATATGCATGATCATCGAGATATGCGCTCATAAAGCTTGCCATACCGTAGAATTACGAAGGACGGGCGACCGTACAGCGGAGCAGGCCATTTTTCGTGCCTCCCGTAATAACAGAAGAGCAGACCAGACAGACGTAGACGGCCGACACGGCACCATTAACCGCACACGAGAAAACGCCGATAAATCGGAACCCGTCCGATTTGGGTTTGAGTCTCCGCTAAATGGGGTTTGAATCACGGCTAAATAAGTTCGATCGATGGTGGCAAATAGGTTATAAATTGCTGGCTGGAATTTAAGCAAGTCAAAGTAATAAAAGAACCAACATGATGAATGTAATAATAAATAATTGCAAACGAACAGTCGCAAATTTATTGAGAGATGCTGGTAATCTTTCGAGAAGGAACGCTACTACTGTAACCGACTATAAAATCACCTGGACACGACCTGAACCAGTCTCGCCTCTTTCGCCTGAAAAAAGTGGCGATAAGGGATTAAAAATTGAAGTCAAGCCAACAGATATTGCCAGAGGTTACGCGGAATCATCTGAATTGAAAGAGTAAGTACTGATATAATTAATAAATACATTCTAACTCAATGTGTTATTATGTCTAATGTTTTTAGTGCCAGCGACATGGTTAAAAAAATGTTCACCTTACAATTCCTATATCCTGATAAAACAAAAAGCATGAAGCAGGCGAAAATTCTGGATTTGGTAAAGAGGCATGAATTTGATAGGGCATCGCCAGAAGTTCGAAGTAATATACAACTCTAATAAATAATATTCGTTATTGTGAAATAAAAAAATAAAAAGTATCATCTACTTCTTTTACTTTTCAGTTGCTAATTTCACTATCCGAATACTTGAGTTGCAAGAGTATTTAAAAGAACATCCCAAGCATTCAGCAGCAAAAGTTCATTTGAAAATAGCGATTGATAGGCGAAAAAAATGGTTGAAACATTTGCGAACCTGGGATTATAGACGTTTTGAATGGGTTTTGGAGAAACTCAATCTTGTTTATACACCATTACCCGAGTAAGAAAAAAGACTTTTATTAAATAACAATACTTTCCTCTATATATTTTTTGAGATATTTTACACACATATATATTATATAATTGTAGAAATTTTAATTTTCTATATATATATATATATATATAAAATTCTTTTCATAGGCCACCATTGCAGATTACTAGAAAAGATTCTTTAAGACGTTTAACAGAAAAGCATTGTGACAAACTCAAGCAGGATAAATTAAACATTTACAAAAAGGAATTGAAAATGTTACAAAAGCAGTTTTATGTAGAGAAGGCGGAGAAGCTTGCGTTTATTAGGGAGGAAGAATTAACATGTGGATTACAGCCATCAGTGAGTGAAGAGGATGTTGCAAAAGCTAAGGAAAAAGCAAAGGAATACCAAACATAAATATATATTTTTACTATATTATAATTTAAAAACGACATACGAAATTAAACGATTTACGAGATATTTATATCATTGTCAGTATATATACTTTTAAATCATTTTATACTTTGTCAATTCCATCTAATGATTATACATTTGTTTGCATCATTTGAAATTTACAATAATCAATTTATTATAATAATTTGTCATATTAAATTTGATGAACGCGAGGTCCTGCTTATTCAAAGTAATTCTTAATTGACAAACTTATTAAAGATTGTTCTCTGTCATTGAGTTAACGTTTATTAAGCAAATCTCATTAGACATTTAATTTTTAATTAATTTTAATTGCTACATGTTACATTTAATGAAAAACTTTAATAACAAAACTTAATATCTTTGCTCTTATTCACTTTAAAAATTTATTTTTTTAAAGCGTGGAATGTAATATACATTTAAACCTAGGAGTTGATGCCATATCAATATTTAGTTCCTTCAGACGACTACTTTTTAGAGCGCGCCACAAGCGAGGAAGCATTTTATTGAAGTGCTCCGAAACGCGTCCCAAGATTGACCAATCAAAACAAAGAGATTTTTGTCCTTTTATTCCGATTAGCCAATCAAACGATTGTAATATCAAGAGTCATATACATTACACATCATCGTGAATACACAAGAATTTGAAGTATCCAAGATGGTGATCACTTTATAAAATATTTGAAAGCATAATATATTTTTACTAAAAGAGAAATATTATAAAGTAGAACAAAGCATGCCGAAAGTACGACGAAGCAAAAAACCGCCTCCGGATGGCTGGGAGCTGATCGAACCAACTCTGGAAGAATTGGAGCAAAAGATGCGCGAAGGTAAGTTTGCTTTGTAAGGTTAAGCATTTCAAATTTTGACGAAGAGAATGTTTTTTAAGACAATTTATTTTGTTGTAGCCGAAACGGAGCCTCACGAAGGCAAAAGAAAACAAGAATCTTTATGGCCGATATTTAAAATCCACCATCAGAAGTCTCGTTATATATACGATTTATTTTATAGAAGAAAAGCAATAAGTCGCGGTGAGTTGTAATATAATTCTGACATTTAATTTTAATTAAAAACCGCATCTCTCTGATTTCTTTGTATTTTTATTTCAGAATTGTACGATTATTGTTTAAATGAAAATATCGCCGATAAAAACTTAATTGCCAAGTGGAAAAAGGTCGGATATGAAAATTTATGTTGCTTACGATGCATTCAAACAAGAGACACGAATTTTGGCACAAACTGCATTTGCAGAGTGCCAAAGGGTAAACTGGAAGAAGGCCGAATAGTAGAATGTATACATTGCGGTTGCAGAGGATGTTCAGGTTGAATGTTTCCTGTGCGTAAGGCACTTTCCGTTTATTTACAGAATTACATTGCGTCTTGTGTAATAAAAATAACTCTTGTATCTCATTTAACCATTAAACTCCATTTTTTGTACTCGGTAAAACGGGCGGCAAAGAACAGCGGCGTTTGCACACGCCAATCATATGTGACACATTTATTTTCAGATTCGATATTCACTCGCAATATGTGAGCATTTTTTCGAAAAGCTGAGATCATAATGTTCGTACCAAAACACATTCTTGGCAGGCGCATCAATTTCTCGTTACCATCCATGAAGATCTTTCCACAAGATGTGATCATCAATGATGCTGTTCTTTTTAAAGTGTCGTGACTGTCTCGTGGATTGTAAACCAATGCGATACCTTCGTCATTATCTCCTTCGGGCGAAACTTCTAAGAACTGTATAATAGATATTATAGGTAAATTACACAACAAAACCGAAAAATATAAATAATAAAAATCTGTTGCATGCAATCACCTTGAACTCGATTATGTGATTCGCATCAAACTGAGGACCATGTGAGAACAATGTGCTTATAGTGTCTGTGAGTTTTGCAGCCGTTTTACCATTATTAGTGATCATATAATGTTTATTATCAAGTTCCCAGCCTGCAATTGTAAATGATTTTTACATTATTATATTAATAAAACACGAAACAATTCTCGAAGTTATTCATCTGTTAGCTCAAGTTATACTATATAAAAAAAATCAAACTTATTTTGTAGTTTTCATATATCAAAAAAAAGTTTTAGTTTTAATACAGAAATTATACATTTGCACATTTCTTTGTACATACTATATGGTGGTATAGAAGTCCTTGCAATATGATGTACACTTCTTGCTACATTGTCTGCTTGTATTCTGACTCTAAGTGTGACTGGCTGATTAACAGGTATATTTCTGACAAAGCAAAAAGTCTCAGATCCTTTATACACCGTCTCAAACTCGCACGATGTTGGATTGAGAATTTCCCCGTTCACCTTCTCTACGATAAATGTTTGTTCCTCGGTAGTGTATTCGGGATTAGTTATGTGCCATTTGACGAATAAACCCGCCGGTCTCTCCTCGATGTTCGTTATCTGAACAGGTACCGTACGAGAAATGCAACCGAGCTTCGATATTTGTTCAATGATCTCTTCTTTATAGGAGTTTAATGGACGATCGAAATTTATATTTGGAAGCTCCTCGGAGTACGGTACTGCCGGTATCCTTGACAATAATTTAAATAACGTTTACGTTAGTATAAAATTATCTCGATAATCTTTCTATTATAATCGTGAATACACTTACCTGCCTATATCATTACTAGCAGCAATTATCTTTTCAAATCTGTTTGTGCTATATCGATGTGGATGCTGTATATTTTCGCTCATAGATATAATGTTTTGCGCATTTTGTATCTGTGCCTCCACCTCCCTTCTACAAGCTCTCAGCGGTATTAGACTTTCATGCTTGTGAATCTCTGCTTCCAATATCAATTCTTCGCGTCTCTTATTGATTTCATAGCACACATCATCTAGTAAAGATTGAAATGTTCCGTCTATATCTTTTAACGTTTTCATCATACTATTTTCTATCTGATAAAACAATTTCTTCATGTTATTGTAGTTACTAAGTGTAAAAGCAAACATCAATTTTGATGAAACAAAATCAATATATTCTAAGAATATATTTACCTGTTGATCAGCATTGTCAAGATCCTTTAATTGATAATCCAATTTTGTTATGTATTCTTGCACAGATTGTATAATGCCTTTGATATCCTCTTCTACATTTTGTGACAGTACTTCTTTTTGTGTAAAAATACCTTCTGCTTCAAGCTGTGCTACATTTGTATCATAATTCTTATCGTTTTGTTCATATTGATTTAACTTTTTCAATGTGTATGTTAATCTCATCAAAAGTTCTTCCTTTTTCGTCTTTTCATTGCCGTTATTAGATATCACAGAATTCTTGCTAGGATTTGGTATTAACGGTTTTATCATATATTTGTCTAATAATTCATCACGATTGTCAACTTGTTCTATTTCCGACTTATCTGATATGCTTTGATTGGTCAGTGCTTCTAAAATTTGTTCCATATCTGAAAAAATGTTCAATGGTTTAAATTAATATTAATAATTGCAAAATTTTCTCTGATACAAAATTCACATAAATATACATATAAGTATTAACATTTCGTAAAAATTACATTGAATTTCCTACATTAATTACAGACATTGCTTTATTAAATTGTGCCAAGAATATTTTGCATAGTAATCATTAGTATCAGCTTGGACTTCTTTCTCGGCAAAAGTTTGAGTTTGCTGATTGTTTAATATTAAATATCTTTTCAATCTTTTTTCTAAATACTTTGCTGAATGATCTTGCAATTTAGTGCAACCTGTTTTATTATTGTCAATTTGAATATTGTTCTCGTTATAATTTTTAGTTGGTGTCAGCAACATGCCATTCCAATAATCTTGATCATTATAATTGATAGCACACAAAGATGCTTGTGTACTAGTTCCTATAATTTGCCAAGAATATTTTATGTTGCATATTTTGTATGCAGACATATTGCTTTTTGTATCAGTATCATTCAGCAAATCTTGTAACAAGCTGTATGATGTTTGTGTGCTTGTCCCAATAGCTTGCCAGGAATATTTTATTTTACAATCGTAAGGCTTTCTGCCATACCATTCCATATTTTTTATTTCACGTTCATTATTATATTCTTTTCTCTGAGAGGATGGCATCCAACTATCTGTTTCCCATGAATATTTAATGTTACGTATGATTTCATATGGATCATATGGACATTTGTGATGATTTTCTGTTGCATATTCTATGATTCTATTCCTTTTTTTATTAGCAGGAATTTCAATAATATCCTGCATCTTGATTGAACCGATGTTGTCAGTGGAAGAACAATTTATATTGGATTTTAAATGAGATTGTGAAAAATGTGACAAGTTATTTTCTAACGAATTATCATTCTCATAATGTAACACATTTATTTCATATTCACTGTTATTAGGTTGCAAATAATTCGATACCAATCTAGATACCAACTTCCTATTTTCAATATTTGCAAATGTTTTCTTGTTTTCAAGTTTGAAACTAGGCACTGATAATAATGATACTGTGGAAATAGTGCCTGTAAAATCGTGGAAGGATTGACTTTGTAACGATATAATTGATGGTTTGCTTATTTTAATATTGCTAATATTGTTAATTGGTGTTTCCATCTTTGGCAAAACTACAGATTTGTCTTTATATCTTAATTGATTTTCTCTGATTTGTGACAAATCGCACTTTCTTGACAGTTTTATGGATTTTGAACTTGTCTTGTGCAAATTTTCGTCCTTTTTTGATGGTTGTAATTGCATTGTATTAGGAAAATGTAACATATTACTTTTTTTCTTGCAGGACAATCTCTTCAAGGGGCATGAATTTTGCACAATACTTTTTTTCTTGATATTTTGAGAGTTTGTTTTTCCAGGAATAGTATATTTTGTACTTTGATTTCTGAGTTTCCAATAATTGAGCCTTTTCACCTATATAGTTTCAAGTTTGAAATATAGACTAATTGAGATATTTTTAGCAAAATTTTTCTAATATCTTTTAAGATAATTTGAAAATATATATAATGAAAAAAAGAAAAATACATTTTTCAGAAAACACAAAAAGATATTTTGATTGACCTCAAGTAAGTTTTCCAAAGGATTATACAATGTATGCGATGGTGTTTCCGAGAACAGCAATGCAGGATTATTTCTGTAGTCTTGTGCCAATAGAATTTGATGTTTATTTTCTGACAAGGGAATGTTAAAGCTCTGCTTAAAGGGTACAGATTTTATAACAGGAATCATTACATCTCTGGTATGCAAGATTACATCTGGTGTAATCATTCTTTTTCTCTGTGGATTAGCAACTTTTGTACGTCTGCCTGTTATCAGAACTTGGTCACCCATGTTGAATACTCTTCTATGATAAAGGATATATTATATCAAAGCATGTTTTAAGTAGTAAATATATTTTTTCAATATATATTTAATGTTTCTCATAACATCCTTATTGTGTAACCTAGATAAAAATTCAAGACATTTAAACATCAAAAACTAAATGCAGAATCAAAAACATTTTTTCTTTTCAATACGTTTGCATCCTATAATTCTCAAAATATATATAGTTGATGAAAAAGCTTATCTAAAAAGCATAATCTAAAATCTTTTAACGACGCACGTTAATATTCCTTAATTAAATCATTATATTTCGACGTATGTATTATGTCAAAAGTAATGATTTTGATTACGAAAAGAAAATTTCATAAATTCATCGTGCATTTTTAAAATTCATGTAGACGATTCATACGCGAGAAAAAAAAGATCGAGGAAAATATATATTGGGATATATACATATATAGTTTTAATATACTCACAGAATTTGGAGATTAGCTTGGAGATAAATAAAAAAAATCCAGAGATCTGCGTGGCAAGAATTGGCGATACACAAGAAAAATTTGGAGAGTGAATAATATTTTTGCCCAAAGAGATTATAACATTTGAAATGCACGCGTAATTGCGACTCTCCACGGGCGATGCATCTTGTTGCACTGATTCGTTCTAAATATAACCAACGCGGACATGATATCACACGGTATGAAATAGATAGACAATCACCGCGCATATCTCGTTCGCGTAATATTTAAATATATTACAGATTTATTACATATCATTTACGTTAATTATACGTTATATTTCTTTATATATATCTATTCACATAAATATCAAGAAAGTGGATTTAAACTCTTAATTTATATACATGGGTTTTTATATATAGCATATATTATTCATATTTATTATACTAGAAAAATCATAAATACTCATATATATATTATTACATTTATATGATAAAGTACATTGTCATTGCATTATATATACACATTTTGTATTATATTTGAACATTATTATACAATCCATTATCACACAATCCTCCCTGATATTAGATTAAAATCAAAATCTAAGACATAATAACTATACACAAGAAATAATAATAATAACAATGTATATGTGAAGAAGCAGAAAAGTTACATGCTAATATTGTAGTTTTTGATATTTTTTTTAGACAATTTTAGCTCACTTTATCTCGACTAATCCATGATAAATATATTCATATGTAATTTTGCGAAAGAATCTCATTTAAAACTTTATCAGGATCTAAATTTTGTATCACAAATGTTCGCAAATATTCGCGCTAGATAATGTAAATATATATTCCAGAGAATGTATTTTACAAATCCTTCACTATAAAACTGTTTTATATGTAATAGAACATGCACTAAAGTACATGTTTGTAATTAAAGTTTTATAGGGAAATATGTAAACTGTGCGAAAATCTTCTTTTTGAGAAGTTTTCGTTAATTTTGTCTCTTTAAAAGTTGATCAATTTGCGTTTTGTACATTTCCTTAATGTCCTGTAGATCCAATCGCAATTCCTGATTCTCTTCAACTTTTTCGCCATACATTTGCAACAGTGCGTCATATCTGGTTTGTGTCTCTCTGAGGTTTTCGTTAAGTGCCTGCGTTTCCGCGACTTTTATATTCAAATCTTCGATCTTTAAAGTTAACGTTGCCAATTCCGAATTCAATGCATCTCTTTCTGTGTTCCGTCGAGACAAGTCCCACTGAAGTTGCTGTATTTCACCTGCAATGATAATAAAATAAGATCATAATTGGTAACAGATAAAAAAAAATAGCAAAGATTGTCGATATTATTAAATACTTACCATCTCTCTGTTTCAGTTGTGCCTGTAAATTTTCAAAGATCGACGTACTGCTTGAGCCTGCTCTGATGCTTTCGTAAGGCATTGGGGGAAATCTTCCAGAGCTATTATCAAATACTGAATCGTTAAACTGAAAAAAAAAAAAATTTGGATAATAGGAATATAGGTATGAGCTATCAATCCCATAATATTGTAATAACATTTATACATACAGCCGGCCAGGCACTATTCGCGCTACTAACGGATTCTTGTCCTATACTGAGAGTAGGACTATATCGTGATTCCTCATCAGTATTTTGCTGCTGTTCCAATAAAGCGTTATTTCTTCTTCGTTCCGCCTCGGTCGCTGCTTTCTCCACAGCTAATTTATTTTCTAATGCATTTATTTCTCTTTTTAATTCTTGCACATAATCGGAATGAGTCTGCTCGAGAATTTTTATTTTGTCTTGATGTCTGCAATTTGAACATGTTATAAATTTGATATAATTTCATCTTAATGTATTTATATTTTCTAAATACTTACTGCTTATTTTGCTCAGACAATCTTTCAATTTCTTCTTTTAATTTATCATATGCTTCTTGCAACTTTGCCTTTTCTTTCTCTTTTAAATTGAGCTTTGATTCTAACTGCGACTCTTTGGACTTCAAATTGATATTCTCTTCTCTTAAAAGACGATCCATTTCCATTAAATTTTCGACTTTTGATTGTAATTCAATATTTTTCTCCGACATAATCTTCTCCTGTTTCATGAAACTATTAGATTTATATATTAAGTTTGCTTGAAGTTGTTCCAATTGCCTTAATAGAGGTTTTGTTGCTACTGAGACAGATTCAGACAACTCTTCACTCCTAGCTTCTGCAGCTTCTAATCGTTTAAGCAACTCGCTGTTTTCATGTTTAAGAAACTCTTCCCTCCTATATCACAAAAAGATAAATATTGTATATTTAAAATCGAAACATTATTTATATAATCTCTAGTATACAGGATATTTACTTGACATGAGCTTCCTCAGCTTGACGATATTTCAATTTTAAATCTTCCAGTTGTGCAAACAGTTGACACGATTCTCCCGCATTATCCACGGCTTCTTTCAATTCCTCCTCCATAGTTAGCAATGTTTCTTTTGTTTCTGCCAACTCTCTATTATACAGAAATTTTTATTACATATACAGCATGTATTTTATACTTTAGATAATTGATTGATATCTTTACTCACACTTTTGCAGCATCCAAGCTTTTCTTATAGGCTTCCATTTTATGTACTATATTGTCCAATTTTTCTTGCAATGTTAATATCTCTTTCTCTTGCTTCTTCGTTTTTGCTGTCAGTGTATGAACGGCTTCTATTTGACTGCGCTCCACTTCCTCCTTTGCGTGTAACGATCGTTTTAATCTTTCCAATTCTGTATTCTGCTCCTCTATTTGCTCTCTGAAAAAATGATTGTGAATAGGAAAAAATTACTTTATTGATTAATTATGAATAATTGCTCTTCCTATATATATTTGCGCTTTTCCTTTACAATTAAAATCGATAAAATAAAAATAAAAATTTAATCGAAATACTTTTGACTCTTTATCGTTGCATCGGTCTCTTTCTCTTTCACCCGCAACTTTTTTATGATGTTGCAGTGTTGAAGTTGTTGTTTACTAAGTTTTTCGCCCTCTTCACGAAGCTCTTTTATGATTTCATCCTTTTCAGCGTTTATATTAGACATTTCCTGTGACGACAAACGCGATGCTGCTTCTAACTTTAACTGATCTAAATTTTTCCTCAATTGATCGCGTTCTCTTATAGCTTGTTGAAATTTTCTCTCCAATGCTGATAAACGCTGTGTATATTCATCTGTGATTTGATTTATGTTTTGATTCTGTTCCACATGTTTCTCGCAATTTTCGAGTTGCCTGTAAAAAAGATATTTATTCATAATACGTTATTTAAGTTTCGTATGAAGGTTTACAGCTACCACAATCTTACTTCATTAGATTTGCATTTCGCTCATGTAGTTCCATGTTTATTCTGCTCACGTCAATCAACTTTGATTCTCTCGCTTCCAAAATCTCAGTCATCTCCTGCACACGTTTCAATAACTTTTCGATCTCCATATTCACTTCATCCGATCCTATGCTGATCTCGCTTAATTCCCGTGAATGACCTCTGGTCTTTAAAGTTTTCGTTAGCAAATCACTGCCTTTAGCCAATTGCAACTTTGCGGGACTCTGTCGCGATTGAGTCGAACTTGAATCACCGTTTGGACTATTAGCACAAACCGTGTTTTGATTATTTATATTCTAAAGAGATCACATAATAAAAATACATAATATTAATATACCTGGATATTATTTCAATGTCGCTCGATGTTGTGGTTTCCAATTCGTCTCCGCTTGTATGACCACTGGCCTGATCCGAGCCGATTTTTACCAGATCGGAACGACTGTAAAAGAAGTAGATTTTTTCTTTTTGCAGAAGAATTTAATTTGAATAATTACGAATATATACGAATCGAATAATATACTCGAATATACCTTTCTGATGATATTGGTGAATTTTCTCGCGGTATTTCCGTGCAATGAGTTTCCATATCACTTATTTCACCCTTTTCGACCATAGCATCAGCCAGCATAGTTTTCACATAAGAACTAGCGGTTAAAGGCGTTTCTAAGACTTTGGGGCTGTCATTCGTGCAAACCAATGTCGCATTATCGTCCAAACTGCTCTGGAGCAAGGTTCCTTCTCCGCTCGAATCGGTAGATACTAAATATTGATCGGCATTACTCTCGATCATCATCGTATCCTCTACGTTTTCAACTTGAGCATAATTGTCAGGGTCTGGTGGTTCTATAGTGGTACTCATCAATTGGGAAAAGGTAGAAACGTCTGGTTTTTCGTTTACTCCTTCTAATTGATGGTCCAATTTGCGGATTGGTTGTGTGGTAATCGGTTCGAGCGTTAAATGCAAATTGTGTTTCTCCTTCAATGAGTCAAGACTCAAATTCAATTTGTTCTCGATGCAAGCTTTCGCCAATGTTTGCCTATCGTCCGGACACGAATCGTGCATCCTTGTGGAGATCTTTACATTCATGTCGGTCAATTCAATCTTGTTTTTAACAGCGTCTAACTGTTGTAATGGCTCAAATACTGTCATGATTGTACCTTCAGAAGCTGAAGTATAGGAATCTTCGGCCAAACTCACTTCGTCCAGCTCCTCCGCGTCTGGTATTACCTCGACGCTTTCCGGGGAAGTTTTCGAGCTGTCTGCCGTTATTTGTGACGAGTTTTTATTCGTATCTAAACTAATACATTGGGAAAATACATTGGGTGACGGTGTGCTATCAACACTGCAAGAATACGAATTGGTATTCAATGTTTTGACTTCTTCCATAGGAGATTCGTATGGAGAGATATCGGATGAAGACGCTTCGGCGAAGTGATCTCTACTCGGCGACTGTAATAACAAGTCTGTGCAGTCTACGCATGGAGTGACACATTCATCCACATCTAAAACAGGAGAGGACTCAGAATTCTTTGGATCTATCGGAGATAAATAAGGACTGCTGTCGCTCTTCCAATCTCCTAGAACTTCCACGGAACTCGGCGACGTTACCAGACTGTCCGGTAATATTTCAACTGATTCGGAATTCACCTTGATGCCAATGAGGGAAGGACTTAAGGAATTAGTAATAGAATTAAGATCCGATTCTGGCGTTGTTGTACAATCTGTGTTAGATTGCGAACCAAGTATTTCCACACTTTCACAGCTCTTCTTATCACTCTCCGAGGAAACTGGGTTGGGTACTTTATGGAACACATTAGTGGAACTCGATGTTTGATTAGTATCATTGCTTTCTAATGTCATCTCATTATGATACTGTTCTTCTTCTTTTTCATCGCTGCTTGTTGTTGAATCATCGTCAATATTATCCGTTGTTGGTGCATAGTACACTTGTTCCAAATCTAAACTGGCACTTTTAATTATATTTTTTTTAGTACTAGTAAAAGCAATATTGTCTAGAGACAATTGTTCTGATATATCAGATTCCAATGCATTTTTATCATTAGATTCTTGAGATATGTTACAATTTATATTTATAGATTCACTGATAGCACTAGAATCTCCTTCATTTTCGGTATGTACAGATTCATCCTTTGTTACCACAGGCTTTGTATCTTTTGTCACCAATTCTTCAGGAACAGAAGTAGAAGATACCATTTCGCATTGTTGTTCATCTTGATTGGCAGTACTTTGCAAGGACTTTGAATGCTTGACAATCTTCCGTACATTGTTATCTATGATTTTTGGAGGCTCAAAAAACGAACCTGTAAAGCTACCCCAAATACTGCTTGAATTTTGTTGTTTTTGTGGATTGCTGTCACATTTGTTAGTTTCCTCTTCATTTTGCAATCCCCAGGTAGCAAAAAAATTCGAAGTTTCATCTACGTGCGATTGAATAACCTTTGGTTCCTCCTCCTTGATATCTAAGGCCTTATCTATAGTCTTCTGAGCTCCCTTTAGAGCAGACTTTGCCAAATTGGCAAATCCCGTAGCATCAAACCAACTCATGTTTTATGCCTAAAAAAAAAAAAAAAAAACAATACATAAATTGCTGGCTCTCTATCTTTCTAGTTACATATATTTTTAATGCAAAAAATCAATCCTTTTAAACAGCATTTGTTATAAACATAAATATTGCTTACATAAACTGTATACAATATTAAATCATAAACAAATTCATATATATTATTTAAATCGACATAAATCTTCGAACGATATAAAATTAATGCATTATACAAGACGTATACACAACATGCAATATTCTCATAATTGTCTACAAACGCTCAGAAACATTGTTTGAGGATGTATTACAATTGCATTGTTTTACGTTTATTCCTCCACATATATTCGTTTATCGCGATCAACGTACATGACATTCTTCAAAGTAACGATCGTGACAGCGAGACACACTCGTATTTTTTTTCTCTCACTGATCGCAGTTGACTTGCGTGTTAACTGTCAAAATGCATTTAATAGCAGTCGACATATTCGTGACGAGTCGTGCGTGATTATGGCAGTGCTGTCAACCTATCCATTCCTCACAGTTTCTGCCAACATATTTATGGCTTCTGCACATAGAACGCGGCAACGGCCAATCATTTTGACGCTTTTCCATAAGAGCGAAGAGTCGATTGGCTATCGCGTCGCCTTTTTGTTGCGCGGCAAACGTTCCGCGTTTTATGTGCAGAAGCCATAATTCGATGTGTGTATCGTACGCTATCATGAGCTTGGTTCTTGGTTTTAATTTTAATAATTCTCCGTAGAATTTGTACGATCCAACGATTACGCGAAAGATGTATTCTATGCACAATGTAAATTTAACGAGTCGGAATATCAAGATCAGCCGTTTGTTTTCCTCGCTCTCGTTTCCTTCCAAAATTTAACATTTTACAAGTATTTTATTTTGCTTTCATATTCTCATTTAGCTGTATCCTTTTATACTCTGCGTTTCTTTTCTTTCTTTCTTCCTTCAAAATTAGAATTTATATCTATTTGATTTTAATAATCAGGAAAGTGCAGGAGATACAGTTAAATTCAATATATTTCGACAGGCATGAATTATTGTCAAAAAGCGCACACGATTATCCACAATTTTTTTTTTTACGGCTATTGTTGCAGATTGACAAATTGTTTATGCGGCAAAATTAATGAATAGGATATCGGGAATAGATAAATAAATAAGTAGCGCAATATGTTAGATGTATACTCGAAGTAAAATTGTATAAAAAATCTCGTTTCTTTTTTAGCTTGACTTTAATAAAAATTATATTCGAAATCTGCGTCGTGCATAGATCGGTCATTCACAAATCAAGCAAAATGCTTGCGATATTATCGATACCACGTCTGAAAAGTCCCGTTCTAGTGGCCTTATTCTCAACAGCTCCAGTGGCGCAATTGGTTAGCGCACGGTACTTATAAGACAGTGTTCGTGAGCAATGCCGGGGTTGTGAGTTCGAGCCTCACCTGGAGCATTTTTTTTTCTCGTCCATGTCGATACCTCGATATATTAATATGCGAATTAATTTAATTGTTTTGCAATTTCTCGCGTTTTAACGGTGCTTACGTGTACGATCAATTATTATAAAATCGTCAAATATATCGATCACAAAGCTTGCAATAATAGAAATCTATATTGTTACAAGATTTCTAATATTATGAGACATATATAAAATATATTATAACACATAATGAAATATTATATTGAAAAGAATGTATAAATAGCGCTTATATTTTATATAATGATATATATACAAATCTAAATAAAATATTTTTTTCAGAGGAAAAAAATTAATGGTGCAAAAAAATATGCATATGTATAACGTTGGCAATATCAGACTGGAAATCTGGAAATGGATGAACCGTGTGATCGTATGCGAGTCACAGAAAGAGAGAGAGAGAGAGAGATGCTTTGACCCAAATTGACCGAGATATGTATAATGGACAGCGCGAGAGGGAGGACGACATATCCCGCCATTATCATTATTAATGGCAGCCGCGTTAAAATCGAGGATGCGAACGATGTTTTATGCTAAGTACTCAATCGTCAACCAAATCACGAAACCTATTAAATGGACCGGCCACCGATATTCGCGTTGATGTTTGTTCATCACGACGCGGGACAATGACCATATCGGGGTCCGGTTTTGTAAAGGTGTGTGTGCTTTAAAAGCCCACCCGCGAATTCATCGGTCATCAGTTGTATTCCGCTATTCAAATTGGAAATGTCTCGACCGTGTTATGATCCGCAGTACAAAACGTGTTTCACACAGGTGATCATCTTGGAATTTTTTAATTGTCTAATTTTTATTCCTAAATTAAAAAAAAATTTTTGCTTTGCGTCTAGCGTTTAAAAACTTAAATTATATTAATAATTATATTATATTGTGAGAGATAATAAAATTTTACATAATACTTTATATACTCAATGTATTCGGTTGTAATATATAATGAACAGCAAAGTAATTTATTAAATTAAATGTGTGTGATTTCAGTATTAATATAAATGTAGTGATTATTGCAGATATATCGATGGCTTTTCTTCATCGGCGCGATATCCTCGGGGAACCTCGCGGAGGGATTAGAGTCTCGGGACGCGGTCTTTGTAAATTTCCATCGCAAATACAACATTTCTAAGGTGGCGTTACTCCACAACGACGGTTATTTACCTCCAGCTTCGATTCCGGATTTCTCTTTGCCGGAGGTAATTGATAATAGAAATGTAGGAACGAACGAGACCAGAAACTATCCTAACGGATTATATCATCCCCCTGACCGGGATTCCTTGCGAGCTCTCACACGCAAGGGTTTGCAAGACATGAGGTATCTGGGGGGCACAGGGTTACAGGCACCCCAACATCATCGTCGACCCACTTTTCCGCAAGGCAAACACTCTCGACAGACTACAACCCAGTCTCCTCTTCCTCCTCCTCCTCCTTCTCTTTCTGCTCTCGGAGAAACACCGGCGTCCTTGGCAAATCGCATCAACGTAGAGGAGATGTCTTGTCAGAACACAGGAGACGAATTGTTCTTCAGGTAATCCAAGACGCTTAGCTCTCTGCAATATGTTTTTTTTTTTTCACACATTCTTTTAAATATAATTTTGCAACAAAACAAGAAAGAAACAAAAAGAGATTAATATAAAAAGCATAACTAAATAGAATAGATTAATTGATCATTAAACTTTAACAAATTTATCATATTTATTCGAGTTTGATTTAGATTATTTCTTACATGTGTATTTACACGATTCGCTATATCATAGAGCATCCATCAAAGCTCCGAGAAACTTGGCTCCGCCGGTGATAGATAACGTGATGCGTGAAACCTGTCAAGCGGTAGCAGTCAGGGATTCTTATCGCATTAATTTTGAGAGGGATCAAGTCTGGGATTGCGGGGTCGTTGATTGTTCCGCGGACGGTAACCGATCGTATTGTCTCGAGCTAAGATTTCCAGTGATTTCCGGTCTACGTTTGAGAGACGACCACAGGGTGACGTTACGATGTAAAACGCAGGATAAGATCGCGTATCGCACGAAGCGGATCAACGTGAAAACTTTGGAAGTGTAAGAAAAATGCGTCATTTATCTTTTGGTGGAAGGCAGCAGAAATGAGCTTTCATCTCTGATGGGAAATGCCGGGTTATATTCAGATATATATGTTGATTTCAGAAAAACGAGAAACGTTCCGAGCATGCTAAACGGCGGTTCTAAGAACGCTCTGGACGTGGATGTGGGACTGTTTAGGAAGACTTACAACTCGGAAAACATTTTCGACACAAGGATACAATCAGGCGGCACTGTCGTTCTCGGCGAAGAGATTCTGCTGCGCGTGTTAGTCAACGGTGACGACGGTAAGCGCATTAGAGTTCTGAGTAGCATGGTGATAGTACCGTACACATTTTTATTCCTTTAGTAAGATAAATGGTGTTTCTGAAACTCCGACAGGGGCTTTGTGTAACTTGTAGTCTCCTAAATCGATAAATTTATCCGCAAAAAGACGCATTACAAAGATATTATTTATACAATTTTAAATTATATAATATACAATCAATATAAAAATTAATCAATATAATCAAGTCAAACATACAGGTGAAAATTAGAATATTGCATAACATCATTAATTCTCTTTTTTTTTTCTCCGCGATTGAATGTTGTAAAATAGTATCTTAATTATACCATTCTATAATTTTTATTTTTACCCTTCCATGTGTTCCAAGGCTGGCGATATTCTAAGATTGGTCAAGTGATGATGCACTATGTGGAAGAGAGACAGCAACAGAAGGTTGTTAACAGTTTGTGGATCCTGAACAAGGATGGTTGCTTAAATTCAGACGTACGCGAGATCTGTCCTCGGGAACAGTACATGGCATCGTCATTGGAGAGCTATCTAATCTTCCAGGCATTCATGTTCGAGGGTATGAAGGAGACTGACGAAATTTCTCTCACCGTGAAGGCGATGGCGTGTTTGGAGCCTGTGGATTGCGTTCTGGATTGTCCTGCCGGTCACATTAGACGCGCCAGGAATGTTCCAGATCGAAACAATACCGTCGAGTGGCAGGATGACATAGTCCTGCGTGTGGTTCTTCCAAAATACGAATCGCGTATCTCGCAAAATTATTATTTAGCGATCTTGTTATTGACAATGGCGTTATTCGCGCTAATCGCATTATTACGGATCATTAAAACTTCGCTTCGTCGAAGAATAACAAAATCCTGAATAATTTCAAATGTTTAATAAAAAAAAAAATAAAATAAAAATGTGTAATGATCACTGCTAGTATATTATGCGGTAAATAGCTTCTCGTTTATTTTAATATGACTGCCTTTATTTTAATATGACGGCAATTTTATAGGATAGTTTTAACAATGATTATACAGTGAGTGATGTTAATATCTGATCTTATGAAACGCGATTTGGCATTTCCCACGCATCCAGCTCGGAGCACAGCTTTAATCCGACCGCAAACAATGCGAGAGACGCGAATACGCTTCTCACGAATGGATCCCTGCTTAGAGCGTACACCATGCAAGCCAGAGAGCACGTGCATACGTCTTCGAAGTAGCTGAAGCCCTTTGTCAGATAATAATGATCTATGACCCGCTGTCGTTCCTTCAATTTGCGCATAAAACGTTCTGCAATACCAAGAAATTTCGATTTATAAAATGTAAAATAATGTATAAGCGATAGATTTCCTTAAGAAGGGGTAAATCAATATTTCTCGGAAAACGATAGTAGTGAAGTTTCCTCTTCTTGAAAATAAACTAACTGCTTGCCTTTCTGCTCTTTTACTAAAGGGCATGTCTCATCGCAAACATCTGCAGTTTCAGGTTTGCGCGAGATGATTCGCTTTACTTTTGCAGGTACTTCTTCTCTAGCTCGTCGTTCAGGCTCTCTTGATGGTCTGGCAGAGTTGTTGCGATCGATTTTCTCATAGACCGCATTCTTGGAAATTTCTTGACGCATCGCTCTCGGCTCCTCCGGAATTTCCTTTGCTATTATGGCGGGCAGAGACTCCTGCAATTCCTCCTCGATAAATTTTTCGTGGTCAGTAATGCCGTCTTCGCCATATTCTACACGCTTCTCGGGTTCAACTAGAATTACGTTTGAAATTAGTGTGTCAATCGAAGTTCTAAATAAGAAAATTAATTACTCTTAATTACAATACTCTTCTAGTTCCTGTGGCAATTCTAATTCGATTTTTGCAATTGCTGGCCGCTCAATTTCATCTTCGATAATTTCAGGTTTTTCAACCGATATCTCTTTTACGGAGTCCGCTACAGTTGTTTCAGTAACTAATTCCTTCTCTTTGATTAAATCGATTTTTTCTTCATCATGATCTGCTATCCTTTCCATCGGGATGGCAACTTGTTCCTGAATGATCGCGATTTCTTGGACCTCTTCTTCAACCAAATCGATTTTCTCGTCATGATCCGTTATCCTTTCCATCGGGATGGCAGCTTGTTCCTCAATGATCGCGATTTTTTGGACCTCTTCTTCAACCAAATCGATTTTCTCGTCATGATCCGCTATCCTTTCCGTCAATTCCTGGACAACTGTTTCTTCTGGGATAGGGGTTACTTCGACGATATCTTCCATCACTTTTGATGGTATCTCCTCAATTTTTTCAGGGTAATCGATTGGTTTTTTATGAATTACGTCAATCACCTCTTCTTCTATTTCTCTGAACTCTTCGGTAACATCCGGTGAAAGTAGTGGGTACACATCGTTTTTCTGCGGAGAAATTTCATCTGGCAGCAAAGGCTCTTTCTGTACAATTTTTTTTTCCTGGATAACTGTTTCTTCTGGGATAGGGGTTATTTCGACGATATCTTTTATTACTTTTGATGGTATCTCCTCAATTTTTTCATGATAATCGATTGGTTTTTTATGAACTACGTCGATCACCTCTTCTTGTATTTCTCTGAATTCTTGGGTAACATCCGGTGGAAATAATGGGTATACATCGTTTTTTTGTGGAAAAATTCCATCTGACAGCCAAGGCTCTTTCTCGACTATTTTATAAAGATAAGAATAGAAACATTTTTTTTTTCAAAAATACTGGTTAATAACACGTTGGTTTTAAAACATTCTATAAAGTGATGTACTTTTTGCACGAAGGTATTTCTTCACTTTAGGACAAGTTGGAGGGCACTCATTTCTTATAGATTCACTGGACATTTAGAAATTAGATATAATGCCTTGTTTCTGTATTATATTACATCTTTATATATGAGACAAATTTATTATTTTATGATAAAATTAGAGTGAAATATGATACACAGAATTTTGATTTTCTATTCTTTAACATTGTCTATTCGCTTCTCTTATTACTTATTTTATAAGGTTGACAAGCAAATTTTACACTCTATATAATGGTTTGCAATTGATTTGTATCTATATTCGCTTTATAGATTTACAAAGTTTTTGACAAGCGAACGGAACGATGAATTCATCCCGCGAAAGCGTTCCAGATTACTTAAACAACAATATATTTCCAACTTTATTAAACGCAATGGAGGAGATGTTACTTGAAGCTGATCGTCGAAATGCTCTAGAAGTATATTATTTTCTAGATAATTGTATCGCATTGATTGTGTTTCTACAATCAATGCGCAAAATATATCTTACAATGAGAAAAAAATGTACTATGCTTTACAGACACATAAATGCTCTTTCAATGGATTGGATTATCTCGCAGAAATCCTTTGGAATCGTAACTCGCATCATCCAAGTAGATTGTGTACTTGGCTGAATGTGTTTGACATACCGCAATTTAAACTTTGGCTAAAATCACAGTAAGAAAAGAAAACATATTGCTATATAATACTTTTATGAAATTATTTTTTAAAAATTATTTTCTAGTCCTAGGCCAATTTATCCAAAATCATGGCTATGGAGTAAAGAAGATGCAGCCTTACACATACAGAGATATGTTCGTGGTTGGCTCATTAGAAAGAGAGTGGATGTTGAGGAGATGCGCCAATTTTGGAAGGTATCAGTATGATTGAATGCAAGGAATTAAAATATATAATGACTGTCATGTAAATTGTAGGTCATCCGTACAGAGAAAATGGACAGTTTTACTCCTGAACTTGACTATACATGTAATAAAGCAGAGCTTTGAAAGTGTTAGACTGATCATTATATTTTTATATTTTCGCTTAAAATAATTTATTGCATCACTTTTCAGAACTTATTTATAAAATATTTATTCTTCTAATTCTATAAAAATTAAATACATGCTCTCACAAAGACGTGACTTCTTCTGACTTTGGGAAAAGAACACTAGACTCGTCCACATTAAAATTCAGCTTCACCGTAGGACTTTCTCCCTCCTCAGCTAATCTGTAATTCTTAACGCTCCCCCCATCAAAGTTATACTTAAGAGGTAATTTTGGTTCCTCGGATACTTTGTCTCCTTTTGCCTTCATCTGACGCATTATGATTTGTGAAAGTAACGGTGGAAGATCCGTCGTTCTAGGCAAGATTTTCTTCTCTGGTACTTTCGCATTCTCAAGATACAAATGCTCCTGATCTTTGGGTATCAATATATAATCAGCCTTGTAAGTCGCAGTATCCAGCTGAACAGGTTTCGGGTTTTTATGACCGCGGAAAACTCTCTCGACCAGTACCATAACTTTACGGTCAATCTAAAATAAGTTATGTCAGAATATTGTGATATAAGCAATATTTTATATTACAATTAACATCGTCATTTTTAATTAATACTTACATGAAGTGCATCGGGTAAGGGCATTGCAGCGACTTTCAGTATCTTCATGTAACAGGGTTCGGGATATCTTTGGAAGCGATTCCTTATCACGAGTCTTCCGACGCCGAAGTTTTTCAAATTTCCCAGAATCTCCCATAAGGGTTTTCCTTTAAAATCTGTCGTGCGACCGATGAGTTTTATAGGCATGGTGTAATCGTTAAATCTGTTTGTCACGAATTTTTCTCTTATCGGTTGACTTGACACATGAAATCACCTTGTCTAAATGGCTTTCAATGTTTTATTATTCTCTATTATTTGTGAGACACGATATTGAGATTAACGTCTATTTCACGAAAATCACATCTAAATTAATATTTCGAGAGAGGTTAGGTTATTGTATTTTTTTTAATCTAAGAAGAGACCACAGATGGCGTTAATAATCGCGAATGTAGCTTCGGGCGTCCTCGGGTATGCTCGGTCATGTTCGTTGTTCCGATTCAAATTTAGTACAACGACGACACGGACAACGGACAACGTACGCACAAGTCGCACAATTAGAGGTACGTTAATTGAGTTTCTAGATGATAAAAAAGCTGCTCGAGAAGCATATTCTAATACCATATATGTCTTGAAATATCTTTGTGCTATCTGTAATGTTTGAATTTCGATAATCGACGAAAAATAATAGTATAATTTATCGCGAAACCCCAGACATTGTAAAGTAGCGGAAGTTGAATTTTGCACGAAGAAAAATGGTTACTTATCTTGTACTTAAAATCTCTTGAGATGTTTATTTATTTTTACAACGATTAATCGCAGAATTATTAATTGTAAAGTTTTGTAGATGGTTTTTGGTAAAGATCGAAATTTCACACCAAGAGACGCTCGTCAGGATAGAAAAGGACAAGAATACACAGGTGTGTATGTGTAAGAGTTATTTATTTATATTAAACTGAGATAAATATATATAAGACATTGCAAAGAAAATGCATTACTCGACGATCCGAACACTCGAATCATATTTCGCAAATTATATGCGTGTATTGTTAATCGGCAAAAACATAACTTACACACGCAATCTAATATATAAACTTATGTATTATGTACAATAAGTTAGACATTTAAATAGAAGAAAATGCTTAACCTAAACGAATAGAGGCACAAGTTACTTGAATAGTGAATATATATATATATATATCTTTCTCTGTCTTAATAAAATGGCCGTTCTTAATAAAATTTGCTTACAGAAATAAAATTCACATTTCAATATAAATATATATAATATGTATATAAATATATATCTTTCTTTTCTCTTTCTCGCAATTAAAATGTCCCGAGATGTCCCGAGATTGAAATCACTGTTAAAATTTTATCAGATGATAAAGATTGTTCGATTCCGCGAAAGTTGAGATTCTATTAAGTTTTTTATACATAATAGAGAATATATATGACTCATTATTGATCAGATATTTCTTTTTCAGTAATCCACGATCTGGCGGATATAGTCGAGATAATGGGAAACGCGCGTGTAAACGCCGGGTACGCCGGCCTGGCCGCAGCCGATGCCCCAGGAAACCACTCCGGCTAATTGCCAGCGGCCGTGACGCTCGCAGACCATCGGACCGCCCCCGTCGCCCTTGCAAGCGTCTTTGCCCTCCTCGCCGCCGGCGCAAATGAAGCCCGGATGCAGATTGAAACTGGGTCCGAGCCGCGTCCGTCTCATCTGTTGCTGGCAGACGTGATTGCTGACAACAGGTACGTCCACCTCCTTCAATATGTTTTGATACTTGCCGTAATCGCCGAAGGCGTCTTTACCCCATCCGGTGGTCCAGCATCTATCACATGTCATGATTATTTGTTAAATTTGAATGAAGACGAGCTACATTTATTTATAAAGATATCGCTGAGAAAAAGAATATAGAATATCCTATAGATTTACCGACAAAAATACTTTATATTTATATTTTATATATTTTGCAATTATTTTTATCTTTAAATACTAGTCTCTTATGAAATCTTTTTTCCACTATAGTGTGTGATAAATTATTTTGCTAGCAAATCTAGAAAATTATAAAAGTTTGAATTCATCAATTTTTAATTTTTAATTCGCGATGATAATAATTATTTTTACACTATTTGCTGTTGCGTTTTATAAATTAGGTGAGAGGGAGACGTACCTTGCTCCTGTAAAATCGTCAAGTTTGTCCGGTAGACAGGCCGCACTAATGTGAGGATTCTTTCCGAAATCAACGTCGTGGTCTAGTTTAAGAATGGCGAGGTCGTTTGCGAGAGTACCGGCATAAAATTCAGGATGCACGAAAACGCTGACGATGTCGCGTTCGATGTAGGGGTAGAATTCGACATCGTGATTCACATCCCATTCGCCCAATCGTGCGCGAAGATCACGACCGGCGTGAGTTTTCACGCAATGAGCAGCGGTGATGATGTGACGCGACGAGATCAATGTACCTCCGCAGACATAGACGCTTTCGGTAGGATCCTTTTTCAGGATGGCAACTTGCCACGGGTATTCACCTAAATTAAGAAAACATTTCATATAATAGAATAACATTTACAATTAAATATTATTTAACGTTACAATAACATTAAAAATTTAACATCTTTAATATTGTATATTTGAAATATTTGAAATATAATATTATACACACAAATTAATATTTTAACTAAAGAAATATAAAATGTGTCGGATATTTAAAACATTTAAAAAGTTAATATTTTTGAAATTAAATACAATATAATTTTTAATTTAAATATAAAATAATAATAGCTGTTTTTTTTTAAATATTTATTATTAAACTAGGTCAACACATATCTATTAGAAACCAACGATCAACAAATAATAATATTAGTTAAACGTTCGCTATTGTTGAGAAAAAAAGAAAGATAATAACTTTCCATATCTGATCCAATAATTCTAAAATATATTTTCCAAAATGTCTTTAACTTATATTGTCGATACTCATTGTCAGTCTCTTTTCTAGTAAATATCATTGAATAAATCGCATTAGGAATCACGTACCGAATTCAGAATCTCCATCGACGTAGACCGGGGTCTTGATGCGGCCATTGATGCCTTGTGTGTTCCTAACTCCGCATTGACCGGGTTGCGGGCGTGCTCCTATTATGTGCGATTTCTCGCAGCAGACGTGATGAGAACCGCAAACTGGCGGACGTCCGTATCGTCTCTGCGGATAGAAACAGATCAATTAATCGATCTCGCGACGAATCGGAGCCTCAACGACGCACGTATTTTACTTATCGTGTGTGTTCTCGATTTTTATCTGTACTATACATTGCCGGTTGACGCTCAGTTTGACAGTCTCGCGTTCGTAAGTTCGCAGAGTCGTTATCACCGTGGTCCTCTGTCATCCGCCGACAGCCTAATCACTTACGGAGCGGCTCTATCACCTATTACCAACCGATTAAATCTGTTGAGCCGAACTGGCAGACGGTCCTTACCTCCGACCTCGTTTCGTTAAACGCACTGCGTTTCCTTCTGTCCGAGAAGGTAATCTTCCCGCTCGTCTGTCGTTCATCGGTCGGTCCTCGCGAAGAATCCTTCGTCGAGGACTGTTCACCCTTCGCGTTTCTCACGCGAGCGTTCCTATAGTAATCATCCGCGTAATCGTCCGAAGAATCGTAATCATCATAATCGTCATTATCGTCTTTATTGTAGGAAGGATAATATCCGCCGTGGTAGTGAGGCTTGTGATACGTCGGATAGTGATCGCTGTAGTGATGATGAACGCCGTGCGACGGATAGAACGGAGGTCTCGACGGATAATGATAGATCGGTTTCTCGTGATGCGTGTGATAATGGGGAGCGTAAGCCGCATCGTATCCACCGTAATGCCCGCCGTACAGGCCGTGCTTCTTGTAAGCCAGCAGATGGCCCAGTTTGTGAACAAGTCCTGGATTGGGTGTCACGTGAAGATTTACGTATGGCTTAACGACCTTCTCGCCATACTCGTCTTTGGTAACTTGCACCGCTACGAGCGGATTCACGGAAACCGGACCTAGATTTATGCCTTGTCCACCAATTGGACCATAGCCTGGCGTATACCCCGGAATTCCCAGAGGATAACCAGGATGGGGCGCGATCGGACCACCGGTCTGCGGTAGGCCGAAACTGACGCCCCAGGTCGGCTTCACGTTCAGTTTTGAGGTGTCCAGATTGTCCACCGTCAGTCTCTGCAACGAGAGAGAGTCGAACAAATTCACGTGGAGAACCGTAGAGTAGTCTCCCTCTCTCGTTTTTTTTTTTTTTTTTTTTTTTTTTTTTTTTTGTTTTTTTTTTTTTTCGGGAGGATTAGTCACGTCGAGATTATAGGCCAGCTAGACTTTCTCGCTGCTTTTCGCTCCCCTCGCTCGCGCTTTGTTAGAAGTGTTTGTTTGACCCAGATCACACATCACGAGTTTCAATGTCCTTTGTTACGGCGACTTCTAAATCTATTGTTTTTAATTCGTCTAATTGCATGGTTGCATCTAGGACGAATCGACTGACTGACATGAGCGTGTCAAACTTGAGTGATGTGTTAGAAGAATGTAACGCTTATATATAATAGCATGCATTCTACATGTCTGATAATTTAATCAATATACGAGTCGAGCTTTCGATGTGATTCAATCAATTAATTTTGTTCAAATTTAATTTCAATTGATTTTAATAATATCTTAATCGAAATATATTATAGAATCGAGATTTAATAATTTACACTTATTTAAAATAATCGATTGCCACATCGTCTGCTCGAAACTTGCATGAAAAGCGAGAGAGAAATTCGAATCGACTTACTTCTTGTATCTCTTGCTTGTCGTCCTTCTTGATAACGCTCTTGACATCTCTGCGATTTCGCTTTGTAACTTTCGTCTCGGCCGCTTCCTTCGTCCACTCGTTTTTCGCCTGTTCGATCTGCTCGGTCTCGTTTACTCCCTTGGGCACTCGAACGACGCTCATGGTGCCGTTTCCATCGGTGATCACCACTTCGACAGTTTCGGCTTCGATGTCCTTGTCAAGATTGCGCGGATCAATTGCCAGGTAGAGATCGTCCTTGCGGCCCACGTGATTGATCGTGGAGCATTGATCGTACGGTACGCACACGCAATCGTCATAGGATGTGGCACCGTAGTTGCTATCGGCGCCATTGTTGAACTGATAATCGCCGTTATCCGGGAGATTACCGTTTCCCGGGAACTGATTATTGGAGCCGTATTGTCCAATGGAACCGCCGAACTGCTTTGGCTTTTCGTAAACGGGATAACGATCGGCGTAGCCCTTCGCGGAGGAGACGGACGGACCGCTGTTGCTCGTGGGCGTTTTGATCTTGAACGCTTTTTTGTAATCATCAAAATCGTTGAATGTGGTGCCGTAAGTACCGCCGTTTCCGTAACCGTAGTTGCCGAGTCCGTTACCACCGAGTCCGTTACCACCGAATCCGTTACCGCCGAGTCCGTTTCCACCGAGCGTAAGAGACGGGATTGCGACGGGATTGGGCGCGATGCCAGACTTTATATCGTCTCCGTGATGATAATGATGGTGAACGTGTTGCTGAACGGCCGAGGAGCCCGATTGATGCAGGACTACCTGTTTCTTATCGATAAACTTGTCCTCGAAATCAGGTTCAATATCGACGCCGGGCTCGTATATAGGTTTAGACACGTATGGGGGAGGGAAACCGGGTTTCTTATATCCAGGGTAAGGTCCGACGAAGCCGGGTGGTGGTCTACCAAACGTCGGTCCTGGTCCAGGATAAACGTTAGGTCCCAGCGGAGAGCCGAAACTCGGAGGCAGTGACACGGGTTTCGCGGGACCATAAGGTCGTTTGACGGGTATAGCCGGAAGTGGACGGCCCACCGGTTTAATTGTCACCGGTTGAGCGTAAATGACATCGTGCGGATAAATGTCGCGATGAGGGGAATAATAAGGACGTCGTCCTTCCGTATCCTCGCACTGTAAAAAAAAATTGATATAAATTGTTAGAAGCAGATTTGAGTCGCATAAAAATCAGAATTTAATATATATCATAATTTTCGAAAACTTTAAGAATCTGTCGATATGTAATTTTAATCCGAAAAAAAGAGAGAAAAGGCATTTTGGATATTAATTATATTTTTATTTTTTTGCCTCTATTTTTTTTATATTCTATTATTATATATATTTATAAAAAGCGCTATTTGACGCATACTCACGTTCATCAGACCGAGAGAGCAGAGTTTGTCCCTGATGTAAGTACGTGCGATGGTATCGTTGCCAAGTTGAAGAGCATTTTTTACTTCAGGATCAGAGTAGATCTCTTCGTAACCCTCGAGATTGCGACCCTGCCGATTGGATACGAGAATGTTGTCGATTACAGATTCGATCTGTAATTAAGCAACATCTTAGGAATATTCGTTCTTCTAAAGTTAAATGCAAAACTTGATATCTTCAAAATTTAATTTTAATTTTAATCACGTTTTAATGTTTAATATTGAAAGTACTATATGATCCTTACCGATTGTTCACTGAGAACCTCGGCGACTCCGCTGGCGCCTGATTGAATATTCGCGTTGTATACCAACGATTGTTGCGATTCCTTCTGTTGCGTATCAGTAGCGTCGAACGTGACAGGATGATATTTCTCTTGTTCCTCGTTCGAGACTTGAATCTTCCACGGTTGCCATTGTACTTGCGACGAGTCACTCGGCGTTTCATATACTTGAGTACAAAGTGCTTGGTTTGCTATTGCCAAGCAAGCTATCAGGATGAACTGCGCTCTCATCCTGTAATAAACATCGAGAAAGACTTAGTTTTATATTGAATTTTTTAATCTCGCGATCACTAATAGATGAAGCTCTTTTTTTTAACGATCTTATTATAATCCATCAACTTGATCAAATTTATTACACATTAAATTCTATTACATTATTTTTTTATTCTTGTTTATAGTTTATATCGCAAAAATTTATTTTTCGATATTTTATATCTCATAATCTATATTATTTTAATTTTATTTAACGTACTTATCTTTTTATTACATTAGTTTTTCATTATTATTTAATCTATTATTTTAATTTTTAAGACAAAGCCCTTCGCGATTTTCTATTCTCCAATAATCATGAGAATCTCTCAACAATTTCTCCGCGCGAATGCCAGCTGCGAATCCACGTGAAAGTATATCTCACCTTTCTCCGTTTGGTTTTATTGTTCATCGCGACCGCGATAAAGCTCGATATATCTCGGGTCAATATCGGATTCATGTGAAAAAGACACGTTTTTAACATATAATTATCCATCTAAAATTTTAATCTACTTTTACTTCAAAATCTTTCGATATCTATCATTGTTCGTAAAGATAAGTTTTTTTGTTTACTAGAGTAACATTCTTACTCATCCACGTGTAGACAGCAGTTTCCGGTAACGGTACCGTACCGGCTAAAGCTGTCTTGCTCGTGAAGACGCGTGTAATTACACGGATGGGACCAACGAAAGCGAGAGGAAGTTGGGTGAAAGTCGTTTAACCGGTTCGTACAATCGTGACGTTTCTTGCCGGCGCCGGGCACATCTCTCCTCGGATATATTTCATTCGTTCCGAAATCACTTTGTGGACATGGGGAAAGCAGTTGCGTAACGAATGCAGCGTGATGTTCATGATTTGAATTTTAAATGAAAAAAAAAAAAAAACGAAAAAAACAATCTAACGTTTGCAACATCTAACATCTTTATGATTGATTGATATGCGGACTTTAAAGAGGAACCGCCGTATTTAGTAAAGATATACATAATACGGTTGTGACGCATCTTTTGTTTACCGCCTACGACAGTGAAAGTGGTTACGTGTTATGTACACGCGGACACTTCTAATTTTTTACTTTCCACTTGCCTTGACATCTTGTTAAAGTGCCGATATCGATATTTTTTGACATTCGTGTAATGAAACTTCCTCCAGTCGCGAATGATGCAGTTTTTTTTTATTACCGTTCCTCAATGCTTACAAATCAATTATTTTAAAGTAGGTCGAGACACAATAGAAAAACCATTATATCGTGTCATTAAAAATTGGATAACTGTTTGAAATTTTTAGTATTTTTTTATCATGAATGAAGAAATATTAAAATTTTTAAATTAATTTTATTCAGAAATAATTTGCTGTTACATTTTTATTGGAGTTAAATTATATTTTTTTATCTTGATTGTGTAACTTTTTTTGAAAATAAAATACAATATCTACAAAGTGCAAGAAATGCTTAAATTTACAGGTAAAAACAATACCTAAAAGTTTTGTATATTTTTTCTTTCTTTTCTAATTCTGCTGATTCAATCAATAATTGATTATAAATATTGAGATTTTGTTAAATATTCATACAAAGCAAAATGTAAGGATAATTTGCATTTAATTTTCATACAATAGTGGGTCAGATATGCTTGATAAATCCGCGAATCTGAATAAGGACGAAGCAGAGGCGGCATATTTAAATGGGAGAAAGTTTTTGTATAGAGATGGAGCGATGCGTAGGCGATGCCTTTTCACTCCTATTTTCAACAAAGTACGCATATTTTATATGTTATGAGATATATATATATATATACATATATATGCCTAGTGTTAAGAAAAATCGGAGAAATCACTCGGTAATCAATAAAAATATTACTTATTTTTGTCAAGCGCAAAAAAATATTCTCTCTGAAAAACAATGGTATTTCTGCTAGATTATATAACAAACAGCTCTACTTTTTTTACATTTTACATTTACATTACATTTACATTCGTAATTAAAAACATATCATTGCAATTTCGAAAATTTGTCTGTCATATTAAAATAATTACTTGTTTTATTTATATTGTTAAATACTTGTTATATATTACAATTATTTTTTTTTACTGTTATATATCCGATTACAATATTGTTGCAGAATTAATTTTACATCTAATAGAAAACAATTCATAAACATTAATTTGAATGTGTACGTACAATAAAAAATTTATCGTTTGTTAATGTTTATTCTCAAATGCGCTGTGCACTTTCAAAAATATTTAATTATTTATTTATATATATTTTAAAAATATGTTACCCTCTTCTTGTAGAGAGAAAAAAAAGCAAAACAAAAGATAATCTATTATTTATACTATTTATAAAATATCAAAACGATTTATTGCGTTAATTACTTGATAATACACACCTGACTGTTGTCTTCGGATGCACTCGCGATAAACTGATTTTCTCGAGCGGCTCGCGATCACGTCTTATACTCGGACTCTCGCTCTCTAACCGAACACTTTCTCCCTGCACGACGTCGTCGTCTGTGCTTTTACCGAAGTCGCCTCGAATCTTATATACACGTCCCTTTCGGAGATGCTGGGCCACCGCTCAAACTATCGGTGGGGTACATTCATGAGTCATTTCACAGACGGACATCCGTCTTCGTGATGCTTCTTTAGCAAACGATAAAGCAAAGGAAACTTTGAAAAAATGTCCATTGAGCAATGCAATGTGTGCCCAGAGTGTCATACTTACTTTTTTATTGCATAGGCATTAAAAGTTTATTGCATTTTATATACACACATATGTATGCCGTTTTTTGTTTACAATATATAATACCGTATTTCTCGATCCATATAAAAGCGAACAATATGCCAGTATGCATGAAACTGTGGTTCTTGTTATAATTGGTATTCTCTTGATAATATTTAAAATATTTATCGGAAAAATGTACGGAGAGGAAAAAAACACAATAAACTCTCCAATGTGGTATAGTTTACAACAGGGCTTTAGAAGGTATTTATATGTATAGCTGGATAACCCATTAATCCTGTATTGTGAAAAAGTAAAACAATGGTATATTTTGCATGCTTTCCATTAAACACATTTTAATTTAATCTTTACAACATAGAATAAAATTTTTATCAATTTTTAATAAAATCTCGGATATATTTAAATAATTTAGAGAAATGAATATACTTAATTATTTCAATTTGCGCCAATTAATAATGTCAATAATTGTTTCATATTTATAATATAGCGAGATATAATATGTATATCACATAAACAACAATTATGAGCGAAGATATTTACGATAATTATTTCTCATCTCTAAATCTTTCATAATTAATGATAAAATAATTAATGAGATTCGAATACAAATTTTTCTATTTAAATTTGTTCGATCTTTACCAAGTTGCTTTCTTTTGAAACCAAGGAGCGGGCTTGAAAAATTCCCATCGGATACAAAAAAGTAGATTTACATGGTCTTTCTAAATCGATTTATCGCATCATTCGTGGAGAACGCGGGTTTGATCTTCTTCGTGGATCCGGCGTTACGTAAGAAACAGGAACAACTCAATACAAATGCAATACTGTTTTTGTCTGATATTTAATACACGCTGTATTCGGTGAATGAACGAAATGATCTTACGTCACATTTGGGGTTTTTCGTCAATAAAGTTATGTAAAATTTATCACCTCGCTTTCATCTCACCGAAACCATTTTGAAGACAAATAATAATAAATGTATGTGTCTAGGATTTATTTATAGAGGAAACTTTGATACTATAATGTCGTAACAAGCGTATACTACGAAGACGATTTATATTTCGTAAATTCATGGTTGTTAGCCTAAATTGTTTTTATGGTAATTTACAGGGGCATTAATATTAATTTTTTCAATCGAATTCGTAACTAGATTTTTGTCATTTTTCACGGAATCTTCTTGCAATCGCTCGCTTCGGTTCTTCGAAATAAATCGAGCGTACCGAAGAAACGTACCTGTCCGGATACTTTCTTCTCGTCAAGCGCATCGACCTTGACTCCTTGGATCATCATGCTTGACGTAGGATAGTAATTTTCACTCTCAGTCAACCACGCGGTAGAAAGTGAAGAGGCGTACTTTCGAAGGGACGATGCCTCGCGTTGGGAGAAAATAAAAATTATATTACTCTCATTAATCGAAACGCGATTACGATATTTTAGGATAAAAAAAAGGCTGTTATCGAGGCTTAATTTACGCATCGTACGGTCAGGTTGTCTACATTTCGTGAATTGTTATGCTCTCAGGATCCGGGAGAAAGTATTCGAGCGCGAGTATATTCCAAGGGTCGATCGCGCATTAGTGAACTTTTCCTTCTGCTTTTCGCCGTTTCGGGTCTCCCGGGAGTTTTTCCAGCCCGATCGAATCCCGTAGTTTCTCGCCGCGAGACGAAGTTTGCAATTTCGCGATTTCGTTAGAACCGCGCGTGAGAATTTTCAATTTTCACCACGCCGGCTTCTCCCGCGGGAGAATTATTCAGAGCGGAAACTAACAATAAAACCTTTAAGGAGTCTTCTCTTTCCCATCACGTATCGGTGATCAACGATGCCTCCGCCGCCGATTTCCTTTCACGCGCCACACACGCCTAGCGTATTACGTAACAGGGATTTTCCGCAGCCTTTCGTAACACTGGGAATTTCGCGTCGCGGATCACACGCCGCGTTAAGCCGCGCGTGAATTCTCTTGACCTAATTCAGGTATTCTTATGCGTTTTCTATTGCGCCGGAATGTAAATGGATTCGATACGGCGTCAACGACGCAAACGATAACGTCACGTAACGTATATAGCATGATTTAAGAATATCGAAAGATTCCTTCTCGAAAATATTGTGTAAAATATAAACGTAAATTTCCCAGAATGTACACAAATTTCTTAAAGGCCGAGCCGATTGAGAAAAGAATTCTTAGTAAATACGTTCTCTTAGATGGACACGAGGAATGACGACTAGCTACGATTAGTAAAGCCTTATTCGAGATTATTGAAGAAGGGAGGGCGGGGAGAGAGGGAGAGATATGGGGAAAATGAACACAGCAACTTTCATCAAGTTCTTTTTTTTTTTTTTGCGTGGATGAGGTTACACGATAGACGATGATTATCGATGAGGAGACAAGCTGCGAGCCGTTACACAAACTTTCACATGGGCTTCACTGATGTCGACGGCTACCGGCCCGATGATTTTTTCGGTCAGTAGGTAATATGGTATCCATGCTGTTCGATCGAGTAACTCGATGGGATCTCGGCGATCGGCGCGGAATAAGCGTAGGCGTACGGTGATATCTATAATGATAACGAAGAATAATAACAGAATGAACGGTCGTTGATTTCGATTTTTCGAGAGAGCATTTTTAAATTTTCGTATAATGACAAGATCTCGAAATCTGTAAAAATGAGGGTTGAAATTAAAATTTCAAATGTGCATAAATTTTCTGGAATTTTAAATAGCGAATGTATAATTTTTAAATGTAAATTTCCGAGCGTTTGATTTTTAAATTGAAGCTATCTGTAAAACTACCTCTGATTCTCCACGGGAGGGGGGAGGGGGGGAGGTGTGGTTTCAGGTCGCTATGAAAAATTAAACATTTTTTTACCCCGTAAATTGATTTTTAAATATTTAACGGGATGCAATGCGGAGAGAATTTGCGCTCCAACTTTCCATACTCACCTGCGATAAAACGGGGGCGGTGTACGCGATCCGGGAGATCGGCGCGATGACAGGCGCGGGGATCGGGGCGACGAGCGGCGCGAGCTTGGTGGTCGACGCCGGGGTTTTTAGCTCGGAGACCAGGGTGAGCGTAGGCGCGAGAGCCGGTTTCGGGGCTGGTGCTGGCGCGGACCACGCCACACCGAGAATGCCGACGACGACGAGAATCTGCAAATAATGGTATAATCGTTTCGAGAGAACTCGCTTCTATTTAAAACTTGGGCACGTCGGGGCAAATTTAAGTAAACCGTGGAAATCGCGCGAAGCAAATAAGTTCTATGTGACGCGAATATCGTCCCCGGCCCTTAACAGAGGATAAGCCAACGCGCGCGCACAATAAACGCTCACTTTCGGTAAACGAGATTATTATATTCAAGCGATTACCGCGATAAATACAGCCGTGAAAGATCACGATATATACAGAGCATTAAAAAAAAAAAAAACCATTCAATATTTATATGGTAGATAGAATACACCATACTGAGTAAAAGAACCTTAGTAAACATGGGTCGGAAGCTCACGTTTCTGAGATATAAACATTTTTTGTATGCTAGCATCATGATTGATTTATTGGCTTCTATGTGTCGCATGCGATGTTTATCTCAGTGTTTATAAACCGAATGTCCTCATTCAATTTCCATACATACTTCATAATAGAAGATTTCACCGGCAATCAGTCAGTTGTCATCAATCGACGATTGCGGATCTTTGCGATTCGCAAGGTGAAGACGCCAAGCGTATATGGAAATGGAAGGAGGACATGTGGAACACCTTCTGTAAATATCGAGATAAAGTAAGTCAATCATGACGCTAACATACAAAAATATTAATATCTTAGAAACGATTGAGCTTTCGACCTATATTTACTAAGGTTTTTTTTTTACTTAATATGGTGTGTCCTATCTATCATACAAATATTGAATGGTTTTTTTTTTGGACATCCTGTATATGAGTCTCTTGCTACAATTTTTAATTAATATTTTCAATTTACAAAATCGTGAAATTTATTATAGATGTGTGTTTCCGAGCGGATTTACTTACGAATCGCAGCATGATGAACTTTGAAGGAAGATTCTGCGCGGATGTACTCGGGAACGGGATGCTCTATGTCAGTGCGCACTCCGGCCTTCGTCTCCTCGTACTTATAGAGGTCTCGGGGGATACCGTAAAAAGTAGACTCGTTCGGTACTACAAAAGTTCCTAACTGCCGTACCGCCGCATTCCTCCTCGGTCTCAGGGACGGATGAGACAGGGATTGCAACGCGGCGCATCCTCACTTTGCGATATATATTGACTCTGCCTACATTATATGCAGTCCTGAATTAGGTACAATTAATGTATGATAGGGAGACTTGAGTTAATGCGGTCTAGAATTAATTATAATGCCGGTGTAATCAAGTTGGAATCGTACAAGAATCTTTCAACATTTTTATAAATCCAAATTAATTAATTAACTAATATAAATTTAATATAAAACTAATAAAACTAATAAAATATAATTAATTAATATAAATTGGCGATAGAGAAAACATATTTTATTGATAAATTGGTCCATTCGATGACGCAGAAATAATTCTAATGTCATCTTGCAAATATAAAAGAGAGACGTTAAAAAAATCTCTTATTTTCTTAACGAAAATTAAAGTGCAGATTTTCTTGGCATTAGGTTCCGTTAAAGATATATAGCGGATAAAACGTACACGGCAATACAGTACATCGATAAGAATAATGCCTCGTCCCGGGAAACGTTTCTTCCATTACCTCTTCCATTTCTATTTCTTTCTATTTCGCGAAACAATCCCGGCGCGAGAGAGAAAGCCCTTCGACTTCGCATTTTTCAATTATCGATCCACCGTAGTCCCTTGGACGCGGCACGTACGTCCTCGCTATAATTCTCTCGCGTCGGTATTTTCTTGGCCGGGATATACGTATCTACCAGTGCGCTCGGTGGCGCGTGTAGAACGGGTGTGATTTAAAGAAAGGGAGACGCAAAAAACTATACGTCGCTCCGTAGACTAGGGATACCGAGGTCATTAGCAATACTCGCGGTTCATTCACCCGAGACCTTGAGGATCCAACCTTCGTGCATATACGCTTCCAGGCAATCGCGCACCGTAATTTATATCGAGGCAGAGATCGATATTGCGCCGTTGAAACGTGACACAAACCCGTTGGCAGGACGATACCGTGTATATTTATACATAATTATGCGCTAACAATTTCAAAAATATCAAGGAAAATCAGTAATATAAAATACAGGTGCAACGATACCGTACGAAAAAAAAGAATAATTTTAGGTATGAACAGAGTAGTGTGTGGATATTGGGGAGAAAATATTGGAGATATTTTGGTGTATCAAATATACACAGTTTAGATGTGAAAATGCATGACAATTTATTAAAAAATTTTTAACAAACGTTGCTCACCGGTCTCTTTCCAAGGCCAAAGACTGCCGGTTTCGACCCGTTTGTCGAGTCACGCGAACGACGAGATTTATCCCGCAAATACACTCGAGACTCTCAGTTTTTGAAAATGATTTGCGAGAACAATGTCATCGCGAAAGGAAATGATGACAGTTTCGAATATTAATTTTTCGATTTTCCGCAAATATATTAAAGGCTGATGATAAAGCTATGGCTCTTTGATTCTAAAGAGCACGATAAAAAAACTGGCAATTTATACTTTAAATTTACGAAACTTAATTTTTCTCATTGATAAATAATAAAAAATATAATTTAAGTAGACTTTTTAATAAAATATATCCAAATAAGATTATAGATATTTATTTTAACAAGATTCTACTGTAAAAAGAATTCTAAAAAAAAGTATTGTAATTATATAAATTTGATCGTGCTCTTTATAATTATTCATGTTTAATACTTTATCCTTGGAATTGATTATGCGTCTTGTTGAACGATATATTGACGTCCTTAATTGATTCCCTGGTATGGTACCTTCTCGCCGAACAGCTGATAATGAGGATATGTCGGAAAGATTGACGGGTCCGCGAAGTATGCTACGTACGGTTTGATGGCTGGCAAAAATTTCGCTGTCACTGGGACCAAGGGATGCGTGTTGTGAACTATACGATGTCCGTGGGTCTCGATCGTCTTCTCAGCGACTAAAGATACCTTTGCCAAGGGTTGCACGATCTCGGCAACTGGTTCTTGCACCGGTGCCACGTCCGTTGGGTATCTCAGCAGCGCGGGTGAAGCTGCGGGTACCAAGGGCAAGGGCGCCGATGCGTGCACCATGTTGTTGCCGTGGGACTCGACAACCTCTTCGGAGACGAGCTTGCCGACAGGCGTGAGAATTATTCCACATTGCACTGTGGCGATGCTTGCCAGCATAGAAATAAATATCTGTGAAAGAAAACGTTCGCCGCAGATATATAAAATCGCGGAATATTTTCGGAAAAATTAAGACAACGCCGGCGTCGATATTTTTATAATTAGTTTTATATTATTAGCCAATCGAGAAATTGTTTTAAAAATGCACAGAATAATATTTGCTAGCTTGAAAACGGAGATTGAATTTAATTGATTAATGATTCTATCTATAAGAAACATATTAAATTTATTTATTAAATATTTATTAAATTTATTTATTTTAATTAGAAAAAGTGAAGTTTGTGTACGTTGTATTTGTTGTAGAGTAGACGAAAAAGTGTTTAATTACATTTACGGAATAGGTACACGATATTTCTCGCAGTTCGCTAACAGCTTTCAACATGCGACTACATGAATTTCTAAGTCTTGTTGAAGGTAGGAATCTGTACCGTAAATGTAAACAAACGCTTTTTCCATGTCTGCTCTATACAAATACAACGTAAACAAACTTTATTTTTCCTTATTTTATAATAGAAAAAGTATTAAAATTATGAAACTTTAATTTGTTATATCTCCTAAATTAATACCGTCCCCCATAAATTTTTTGCGGGGAATTACTCAGAAAAACCTCCCCTACAACATATTTAAGTAGCAATAAAATCAAAAGTGTGTTACCTTTTATACACTTTTACCTATCTTTTTATTATCTTCCTATATATATTTTATTGTCTCTCTCTTGATAATTATCGATTGTTTAAACAATTCAAGTTTAAAAAACACTAGTCTTACCAGTCTAAGCACGACGACGGATTTTCACTACTTTTCGATCAGAACCTGGGACCGATCTGCATGCACGCGGATCTTCGCGTGTTTATATAAGGAAGTAATATCCCCCGGGGTGATCTTCGAAAGAGACCTTCAACTTCAAGATGCGTGCAATTAGAGCTTCACATCCTGCGAATCTAGTTTAACGCGTTAAGAAATATTCAATGCGACAAAGGCATCCACATTCTTGTCTGAAAATATATGTATATATATGTGTAATATATACTCTTATAAAACATAATTCTTGGTTCGCGTAAAATATTAAAGATTCCCGAAATTTCCGAGATATATCTCTCCTTGTATTCTGAAAACTGTATTTTAAGAGAATGTCTTTTAATTTAGTGATTCTCATTCTAAAAATAAGGATAAAAAATGTAATTGTAAATTAATTACAAGAAATTTTAAAAAGAATTCCAATATTAAAATATATACAATTAGATGGAAACTGTGCGAAATAGATTAGCAATATATTGCATTACGAAAATCAAGACATGGATAAAGGATATACGGATTACATTCTTTGCCGCTTGTTGGTTCTGAAAGCGTTAAGCTTTTTGCCATCGTCATGAGTTTGTGGGGTAGTACGCTTGACAGTCGAACAAAGGTGCTACCTCTACGCGATCTCGAGACTTTACTTTTACTCTTCACGTCGCGGTAACAATAAGCACTTACGCCATAGAAGCAAAAAAAGAGTGGTATTAGTACTTCTCAGAGGGACGCATAAAAAGCGCTCGAGCGTAAAATTAAAGCCGAAAACGCGCTTAATCTTGACAATCTCATTTATTCGTTTTTATCATACTAACGATGGCAAATTCGACAAGGAACGATATTGTAATTAAAATGAAAATAATAAAATTCGGAAATAATAAAAATAAAATTAATTGAATTATATTTTAAGAATTATCAAAAAGTGATTAAAAAAGTAGCAAATTTTGTAAATTTTGGGGGGAAACTTTTAAATATCTGTCTTTTCCCTTCATTTAAATAGATGTTTATCAAGAGATTTAATTTTCAATATATTTCAAAATTTTTAATATTATATATATTTTCAGGATTATATATTTTTTAAAGAGTAAACATATAATTCTTTTTTTAATATAAAGCACATGCAGTTTGAATGTACGAAAGTTGATATATTCAATACATGTAGCGCGTGTTAACATAACATATGTATAGATACATCTATAACTTTTCTTCGCAAACGTAGATGCGATATTGAATAATTCGCCTCTGCTCTCTCTTTCTTTCTATCTTTTTCTTCCTCCTTCTCTTCTTTTTCGGGGGGGAAGGGACTTTTTTAAAGCTCTCGTAAAGAATGTAGCGAGTTAGTTTCGTGAAAAGTGCACAGGCGGGTTTATATGTTTCTTGCAAATATATTCAATACGTGACCCGATGGCGCGCGGCAAAGTTTCGCTCGCGATTGTCGAGTGCGAGGGGAATGCAACGGAGCTAAAGCCGAAACTCAAACAACCGTTGATCGCCAAGTCGGTAAACACTTTTCATCGAGTCCTTCCAAATCCTATTTTGAGAAAAGCCTCACGTAAACGGATAGGTAGGTAGATGGACGTACTACGCGGACGTGGCCCGCGCGCGATGTGTGTATCTAAAAAAAAAAAAAAGAAGAAAAGAAAAAAAAACTATATAAGAACGAAATCACCCCGTGATCACGACGCTTCGTGTTTGCCCATCGTCCGTGCGAGTAAAAAGTTGGAACTCTCCGGGATCGGTCGAGCGAGCGAGGAAGAAAGGATCCGCGATCCTCGATAAGCTCGGATAGTACGTGATATGGAGGAATTAATCCCTTAGGCGTGATAGCGTGTGGCATGAGAACGAAATAGATGAAATTTCATAACCGTCAGGAGGGAATGTTTTACGCGACACAACGCTTGTTATTATATTACTCGGCGACTTTTTAAAAAAAAATTTGTTAATATTTATTAATTGTAAGAATATAGAAAGACTCTTGGAAATTACAACCTGTTAAATCTAAAACTCTGAAATATATATATAAATATATATATTACAA